AACCTTTATTTTCACTGTTTACACTTTTCTTTCCTTGGTCATTCGAGTCACAAAATGAGTAAACCAAGTAAACTATGGACAAGTTGCCATTGTCCAGTGAAAGAAGAAAAAAGGAAACAAATAAATTGACCGAAAAAAAAAGTTTCTTTTTCAATCTATTTAACATGTTAACCTTTTTTTTCCTTTTCATATTGTCTCATTCATTTGTATTCATGTTTAAATGTTAGCCTTTTGTTGCTTGTGTTTTTTTCCTGGCATCGACCATTGGCTACTTTTATATCATCATTAATAATGCAATTTTGCGTTTCAATGGACGCTAAATATTATTGTAAATCCTTTAATGCTGTTTGCTTCAATAAATTGTTCACAGTCAATTCAATGGTCAGTAAACAGTTTTCACAAATAAACGAAACTTGAGAAGACTTTTCTTCTTCTTCCAAATTGGTTTCAAATTTTTTCAAATGAAAATCAAATGAAACTCTTGTTGACACCTTTGTTGCTTCCTTTCCTTTTATTTACCCTTTAAGTATCAATATACATTCAATTTGAACATTTTTCCTTCATTTTCATGATTAGCTTGTTGCTTTTCAATTTGGAGAATTGATTTTTTTCCGATTTGGATTTTCAATTTTCAATGTTACTGTTGAATTTATTTAAGTGTTTCATTGGCCTTTTGGTATCCATTTACAGTAAATTTGGTCTCCTTTTCCCTATTAAACTAATAAACCTTTTATTAGATCAATAAATTATGTCCAACATATTTAACTGGCCAGTGTCGGATAGAGAGAGAAAAAGGGTCAAAAATATTAGTTTATTTCTCGGCATTTATTTAATTTATTGGTCAAGTTATTACTGTTCAGTCAATGAAGGTTAATAATAAAAGTTTGATCAAAGAATGCTGATTCCGTTGTGATTGATGAACAACACATTTATTGATAAATGGCTCAGATAAATGACAATTTGTCTCTGGTTATTATTCACCAAATATTTTAATCAATTGATGATAAACAGTCAAAGATGAAAAAATAACAATCGAAATCTTTCCTCATCCTTCTCATCCTCATCCTCATCCTCATCATCCTCATCATTTTCATCATTTTCATCATTTTCTCCATTCTCTTAATTTTCTTCGTTTTCTTGATTTTTGTCTTCTTTTTCATCATCTTTGTCATCCTCATCTTCATCATCATTTCCATCACTTCTCATTAGATGGTCTTGATCATCTTCTACCTACAACATCCTTTGCGAGAGTCTTTCTCTTCTCTTTCATCATTCACTTTTTTTTCTCACATTTTCCTTTCTCTCATCTTCTCATCATCCAGTGTCTCATTTTCACTGACACAGCAATCTATATCCATTAGTTTCTTCCAGAGTAACCTTTATTTTGTAAACTAACAGAGCTGATTCTTGGCAATGATAACCAACTTGGGTTTACCAAAGCCTACTCAATACTCATCAGTAGCATCAACAGTAGCCTCATCATCCTTAACCTCGTCATCATCACCATCATCATAACCATCATGTTCGCCTTCTCCATCATCTTCTTCCTTTTTTTCCTCTCTTCTATAACCAACAGCTTACTATAAGTTTTACAATTAAAACAGTTAAATCATACGTTTGTTGTTGTCGTTTGTTATCCCCTAACGTTGAAAAATTTATCAACATCTTTTCACTCATTTAAGCAATTACAATTGGACCACCAGAAGCTATCCAATTACAGAGTGATTCAGAGTCACTTCTAATTATTTCCTTGACCTTTTCTTCCTCTTCTCTTCCCTCTCTTCCCTTTCCATCTTATAGTAATTCCTCCTCCTTCACCTCATCGTCTTCAAATCATAACTTTTGGTCAAAACACTCAGTTTCAACTTGTTTCCTTGAGCACTTTTTTTCATCCTAATAGATACTATTAGAGTAAAGTTGAAGGACAAAAGATTCAACAATTGAAGCAAAACAAAAAAGCCAAGCTCAAATAACGGTAAAAACCATTTTGCTGGTTTAAAAATGGATCCATTTCCGTTTTATGAATGAACACACAAAAATGAAGCCAAATTTTAGGTTATAATTGATTACATTTGACAAATGATTGCAATTGAAAAATTTTACTCCCAATTAAGGTTAAGTTTAAGGTTACTCCAATCAATTGATTATCAATTTACGGTCAAACACATGAAACACAATAGCTTGTGCTCAAGTAAACCTTGACAATGACGTTTGACTTTAAAAATACGAAGACAACTCGATCAAAGGAAAACGGGTTTACAGTCGCCAGACTTGAATAGGTTAACCATTAATAATTGGCCTTTTGTGCCAACTCCCTTTGACTATCCTTTAAACACCAATTTCACATTCATTGTCAATCGAAATTCATGTTTCCAAAAAAAAAGAAAAACTTGAAAAATAATTTTCTAAATGATTCAGCTTTTCCATTCAATCAAGTTAAACAAATCAATAAAAATGCATGAAATGATGAGCATAAATTCATTTCTTAAGACATTTTTGGTCAACAAGAGAAGCACAAGTTTCCAAGTCCATTGGTCACCCTTACATCACCAAATCAGCTTCAAAGAGAAAACTGAAAATCATGGGAAAAATGAGCAAACCTTTCAACCAATAATTAAACTAATCATTTGCAAACACAATTAGTTCCAGAAACAATTATAAAAGGTAATTTTCAGTGGAACCTATTGAAAGAGGAAAACCAGGTTTTTGTTGATCAACTTTTGCCAGTTGTTTTTACAAGGGTAAAGATACTTTCTTTGACCATCTTGACCCAACAAAAGAAAAGGTTTTAACCGAGAAACTCAACAATCCTTTCACTTTTACCAATTACCGACTCAATTTGAATCATAAATTGGATGAAGAAGAAAATTTTCTCTCCTCAAAAACTCTATTTGTATCAATCATTCCCAACACAAAGCTAATCAAATGAAGAACAAGAAAAATTACAATTTTAATGATATTATTAATAATAATGCTAATAGAGCATCAACATCACTCTTTATTAGGATGCATCCATTACCAGCTTTCGGGTTACTTTTAGTTAATATCATTTCTTCATCTTCTTCTCAGTTCTTCTCGTTAAAAGCAGTTTCAAGTTGAACAATAAATTAACTGAATTGATGATAAATTGAAATGTGATTTAGCTCATCACCAAAAGCTAATTCAAATCATCTCTGTTCCTCCTTCCTTGCAACATTTCCCTAGCGCCTTCTTAGCTTCACTTTTAATACCTGAACAAGAAGGTGATGAAGAAGAGGAAAATCGGTGAAAAACAACAAAAAAACATTTTCATCATTTTCTTCCCTTTTTTTACTCTTCTTTCATCAAATGATCAACTTGAAATGATCCGAATCCCTAATTTAGCCAAACTTAATCTTGTTCCATTCATCTTATGAAAAATCCAAATTGGAATTACCGTTTTCTTTACCTATTTATCATTCACCGAATCCCATGATTATTAAGTTTCTCTTCTCAACATAATTCTCTTTATCTTCATCATCTTCACTCATTCATCCTCCAATGAATCTTGTTCGTGTTGAGAATGGCCAACAAGAGCAAACACAAAACAGCAACAAAAAAGGCGAAATTTCAATATTCGTTTCTTTCCCTCATCGACTAAACACTTTTCAATCTCACTTTCAATCTAAACTAATGATCCTTCCAATCTGAATGAAGGCCTAAAAAGTTCAAACCTTTTCCAGCTTTTGTTCATCAACAAACATTTGTACAATAATCATTTCCCATTAAGATTGATATCGAATAATGAACATCAAAATTACAGAGAGAAACATTATGAAAAGAGAAATGAAAAAATGTCCAAAATATTCAATGTGATTCCAATAAGACTTGATTTGATCAAACAATAGCGTCAACGGTCCGTGTAATGATTAACATTGGACCGTGTAATAAGGATAAATCTGAAATATAACTTGAAATCTCATCATTCTTCATCTTCATCTTTCTCTTTGTTTCTCCTGATGTCACAAATTTCTCATCTTTTTTTACTCCATCAAGAATGCTCACAACATAAGTTAACTTGACGATCAAGTTGTCATAAAATTTTGACAATTTGTTTTCGCCATCATTTAGTCTTTAGCTTTGTTCATCATCACTCGATCCCTTCTCATCATCATTATTCTCACCATTTCTCTTTCCTTTCTTTTCTCATCCACTTCTAACATTACTTTTTTTCCGATGAACAGTTTAAACCCAATATTAATGCAGTTCAATTGTATAAGCATGAAAAGGTTTCATTCAACTCTTTATAAATAATCAATGGAAAGTGAATGAGAAAAAAATGGCTTAACTAAACATTCCTACACCAATAATGCACACATTTTTTTTTCCTCTTCTTCCCTTCAAACTTTTCTTCATCTCTTCATCATCTCTTCATCTCTTCTTCATTTCTTTACTTTCTTGTTCACCTTTTTTTTCTTCCTATTTACCTGATAATCTTTAGCTTCTCTCTTTGTACTTCATCATTTGCACAAAAAAGAGATTCATTTTTATTCATTGATCTTTTTTACAATTTTGCAAATCTCACTCAATTCATCGTTTCATGCATAATCACTAAGTCTTTATTAGCTAATAAACTCAAATTGAGCGAACATTTGATCGAAGAAAAGACGAAAATGCAAAATTTTCAATTTTCATAAATCTTTGTGTTTGACCAACAAATGGTTAAATCTCAAGGAATATTTATTTTTACAAAAAGGTGAAGCAAATTTAAATTGCTTTTCAACCCAAAATCTGATGTTTTTTGGTCCTTTTTTGGTTCTTTTTTGGTTCTTTTTTGATGCTTTTCTGATTTAGTTCGAGTCTTTTTTTGTTCAGGTTTCAATTGAACTGAGAAAGGTAATTAAACTGTTAAATGATTGAGTTTTGGTGAAATGACAAGAGTTGCTCTTGTTACTGTTTGGTTGGTGCAGTTGGGGATAGATGGAGTAAGTGTAACTTTTCTCTTGGTTCTTCCCTCTCTACTCACTTACGTGGCATGAGTAGAGACTGTTGTTGGCTCATGTTTCTTTCAGTCTGGTTGTTAGTCCTTCATTTTGGTTTTATGTTGGATGTTGTTTAAAATATGATGGATCCTAGTGACTATAAATATGCAACCAACAGTCAAGTTTTGTTATTGTGAACCATTTTGGATTATTTTATTATTTTTAATTATCCATCATTTCGGTGTTTACATTTGTGCTCAAAAAACATCAGTGGTTCTTCTTGACACTACAAGGGAAAGCTCATTAGACTGGACTAGATATCCTTATGGACCTCAATCAAAAACACCTGGATGGGTTGAAGAAAGTTTCACCAATTTTGAAAGAGGTATCAACTGGAGATCTTATGTAGTCTGTGATGTAGCTTATAAAAATGTAAATAATTGGCTTTGGACGCCATTCATTGAAAGACATGATGCCAATAGGATTTACATTGAGATTAAATTCTCAATGAGAGACTGTAATCTATTCCCAGGAATGGCATTATCGTGTAAAGAGACTTTTTCCCTCCTTTATCATGAATTTGATTCAGCAAAGGAACAAGATCCACCGCCATGGGAACCTGAATCGTACAAATTAATCGACAGAATAGCTGCCGATGAAGGACGATTTACATCAAATAGTGAGGTAAGTTCAACCAAATTAGATTAAAGTCTGTCATTGATCATTACTGTGATCACTGACATGAAAAAGATGAAAATTCATAATGACAAAAAAAACCATGTCAATGCAACAGAAAAAAAGAACCACTGCTAAAAATACAACAGAAAAGGTTGATTGATTAAAGTTTTTTTCTTGCATCATGACATGATGTTTGGTCATTCATTTGGTACATTTTATTCATTTAAATAATTTTTTTCTTTCTCTTTTTTTCTTGCTTACAGACCATCATAAATACTGAGGTACGAAGTATACCCGTCAGTAAAAAAGGAGTTTACTTTGCCTTCCGTGATCAAGGAGCTTGCCTTTCACTAATGGCGATTAAAATTTTTTACGTTGCCTGTCCCAATATAACAACCAACTTTGCTCACTTTTCATCAACCCCAACGGGCAAAGAGTTAACTGCCATTGTACCCGCCGAGGGAACTTGTGTTCCAAATGCCGTTGAAATTGAAAAGCCAAGATTACTCTGTAAAGGTGATGGTAACTGGACCCTTCCCTCAGGAGGCTGTGAATGCATGCCAGGCTATGAACCTTTGGGACAATCTTGTCAAGGTAATTTACATGAGCATTACCATTGTTCATTTCACCTGTCCAAACCTTTACCATCAATCCCAATATATCTTTACTAGTTAAACCCAATGTAATCAAGGAAAGTCAACCTCGTCAAATGTCAGGTTTACATCAAGAATCAAGTTTACCTTAAAGAGCGACCTTTCTCTATTCTCTAAACAATCTTTGCTAATTAGTTAAGCTGCTGATTCAAAACTAATAGGATTTAAAGAGTGAAAATTAACCGTTTCGAATCGGAAAAGTTGAAATGACTTGAAACGACCAACTGTTAACTCTGCATCAAAGCAACTTTTTAGTGACAACCTTTGAGTCTCTTAACGTCTTGAGTCTTGAAAATGTTTTCAGCTCTTCAGATTAATTATTGTTTCTGGTTTCTTATTTGTTTTCATATTTCTAAGCATTTCATTGAGATTGACATTGACCATTGACCAATTTGTATCGATTCATTGAGAGTAGATTTTATTGAGAAAAATTAATTTCTCTTGGATATAACATTGTAAATTATTGTTGATCCTTAATGCTATTCATTTTTGTATCACTCTGATTGATTAATTCAATTTGGATTTCTCTCTTTTGTACAATTAATAATGTATAGCTGGGTTCAATGTTGAACCAAGGATAACAAGTTATTCAGTAGGTTTCCATGATTATTATACTCAATACCACTTATTTCTCAATAATGATATCTTAGAGGAGCCATGATAAAAATGAATATCATCATGTTTCTTTTTCTTTATATCTTTTGATTACTATTATCATTATATTTATTACATTTACTCTTGATATAATAATTTATTCAATCGAAATGAACTTATTTTCTTCTCTCTTGCCTTTTCTCTTTTCGGCGGGAAAAGCAAAAAAAACATTAAATAAGCACGAACAACATTCGTTGTTTATTATTGACCAACATTATAGTCTCATATTCAACATTTTCAGAGTTTTCTCTCTTTTTCTTGAAACTAATATTTTATCTATTGCATTATATATTATTATAAATCATTATATTAACTACCATTGACCATGTGTGATACATAATCATGATAAGATCTGGTTCAAGGGTTATCAAAATGCAGAATGACCAGTAAAAGCAAAGGAAGAAGAAGAAGAAAATAAATTCTGATGAAGAACAAGAAAAAATCCTAAAACTATAAACATTGAATACAAAACTATATTCTCAATGTTTTCAGTTGAATGGTCACATTAAGATAAATAAATAACTGAGTTTACTTGTTTACTTAACATGAAGACACTTTAATTGACTCAACTTTTTGGGTTCCCTTCTTGAGGCTCAACTTTTTACCAGCATTTAATTGACCTTAGGGTCAAGGTTTGGCAAACTTGCACAAAGAGAGAGACCAAAAAGGTTTACTATTACAATCTCTTGTTTTTGTTGAATTTGCTTCTTCTTCTTGTATCAATATTAAAAACTTTCTGTGTATTTTAACAGACTTATGCATATAAATAACATAGGAATCAAAGTAAAGAATAGCCTTTCAGACTTGTTAGTGCCCTAAGTCAGCGTGTTTAGTTTATTTGATCAGCAAAAGTTCAATTTGATCAATTTTCATCTCATTATCGTCAATTTCTTGTTCATTATTATCTTCTTGGATCTTCTTCTTCATCATTTTCGGTTTGTTTTTTCTTCTTCTTTTCTGTCTTTTCCTTTCAACCAATTGATGAACCTCTTTTTTTGGTTGCCCATTCATTTTAGTCTCTCCTTATTGAGTGAAACCTTTTTACCTTATCTGGCTCCTTTCCTTGATCCAATCAAATTAAATTGAACCAAATCCATTTTATTGTATTTTATCTTCAATTCACTTTCCTCTCCACTAAGTCAATTAGTTTGTCCAATTGATTATTCCAATAGATAATCTAATCGCTTCCATCTCTTTATCCACAACAGTTTGTCCACCAGGGACTTTCAAACCTTCTCCCGGTAGTGAATTATGTGGACCATGTCCAACTCACAGTACTGCCCTTTATCGTGGATCAACTGAATGTCGCTGTGATCGTGGTTACTATCGAGCATCTAAAGATCCTAAATGGTTTCCCTGTACACGTAAGTTAATCCTTCATCGCAACTTCAACAGTAAATTTTCAACATTCCTTCGCAAAATTGATAGCAAAGTCAATCAATAGGAACGATTAATCGCAAACCTTAGTTTAACAGTTTATTACAATTTTAATGTGAAAAACTGAAAGAGCAGACATTTCAAAGTCGACTAGCAATGGCTTTACAAGTCTAACCAAAATGCAACTTTGCCTTTTCTATGTATTTTTGGTTCGATATTGAAAACATTGGTTCAACCTTTGCTTTTGATTTATAGCATTTTGGCACGATTTTGACCTGAAACTATATTCACTAATTGTATAGGTTATACTTAGCTTCCTGTAAATCAAATAATACATGTTGGAATAATTTGTATTCATAAATCCAAAAGCGTAGGATACAAAAAAGAGCCAAAAGTTTGTCCTCTTTTCAAAGATTTAATTAAAAATTATGAGACAAGCAGAGTGATTGAGCCAAAAATTTATGCGTTTGTCTAGTTTTTATGGTTTCAAGTTTAAATTTAATTTGCAAATTAATCAAACAATTATCGATAGTTTTTACAACAGTCAAAATCATTTTCATATTTGTTATTGATTCAATTTTTACTCTCAACTCCAACAGAACCTCCATCAGCGCCTCAAAATTTAACAATTAAAGATGTTGACCAATCTAGTGTGCTTCTTACCTGGTCACCACCAAAATATTTGGGTGGACGTAATGATACTCTTTACCGAGTTGAATGTGAACAGTGTCCATCAACAACAACCTATCTGCCTTCATCGGAATCAATCAATGAAACTAAAGTAACAATCCAAGGCCTTAATCCATCATCAACTTACCGTTTCATCGTTTATTCCGAGAACGGTGTTTCAGGCTCTGAATTGAGCCAATTTATCGATATAACCGTAACTACAGAGCCATCAGGTAAGACCATAAAAAATAGATCGTAAAATATCTCAATTGCAACGAGAAAAAATATTTTCTCTTCTTTTCTTTCCACCATTAATATGTTTATTTTAACAATCAATCATCATTTACACCATCATTTACCTTTCAATTTTGATTCATATTTTTGCTCATTTTGTTCAATTCAATATTACCGTGAGAAGAAGAAAGAAAAAGCCAAGAAAAAATTGCAACTCAGAAAAACTGAAATAGATTTGAACTCGAAAATCAATCTTTACAAATCAATTGAATAGGAATGAGCAACACGCAAAAATCATTTACATAACATTACCTCTTTTCGTTGAAAATGATTATCAACAAGCAAACAACATGGTACTTCTGATAGATGATTCTCAATGAAAATTAAGATTTACCGAGCCATTAACATGAATATCTTAACAGCTGAATGAATGAACGAAAAACAACAGAAAGTAAAGGGTCAAGATTAATTTACAGAGTAAAACCTTTACACTTAATCGCATGGGAGTTTTACCCTGATAAAGGTGAACCTTTCATGTTGCTATCTTTGTTGATTCTATTATCATTATTCTTTTATTCCTTCAATTGTCTGAATTGAACACACATTTTGACCAGAGTAAAAGAAAATTTGTTGATGGAAAGAAGAAGAAGAAAAAAAGAAAAACAGAAAACAAGAAAAGTAGATGATAACAAGTTTCCATGTAACACTCAGAAACCTTTTCTTAATGGTCGTAACCAAGATAGATGATGATAACAATGATTATCATGATTCTGATTTGAACATTATCAACGTCAAAAGGAGAAACTAAATGATGCTGTTGATGAAAAGATTTTCATGTTATCTCTCTTGTTACCTCTTCTTTACCTGTCCATTGGCATTTCTCATTTTGACTCTCAACTAATTCGTTGCTCTCATGATATCTTTCAGGTTATATATCGTTGGTTATCACTGAAGATGACAATGGACACAAGTTTAATAGTAAGTTATCGTTTTCCCTCTTCTCTCATCTTCATCTTAATCCACTTTATCTTCATCATTTCTCCTCCCATTGTTTTCTCGTCTTTTTTGTTCACAATTCCTCTTCTTCTTCTTCTTCCTAATCATCAATTGGTTGTATCAAAAAACTGTTCAAGTGATATTTATTTTTACCCCAAATCAAAGCCTGTAAACTGTTATTATCATCATTACGCCTTATTTTCAGCCTCAACATCATCATCAACAACAATAACAAAGTGAAAAAACAACATTATTATTATCATTACATAGGTTGATAGGGAATTGACTGTAAAAAATACTAAGAAAGAAGAAAAGATTAGAGTAAGATGATGATAATGATGAGGAGGTGGAGGGTAATGGTAAAGGTAAGAAGAAAGGAAAGGAAACTGAAGATTGCTTCTCTTTTTTGTTGCCTCTCATGATTGTCTATTTTCATCGGCACCTTACCTTGCCCAGCAAGGCTTTGTTAACATCATCAACCAGAGGATAAAATAAATCAAAGTAAAGCAAAACTGACTATCAAAATGGCCATTTTGATGGTTGACTAATCTTACGTTTTGAATCCTTCATTCATCTTGAAGTAAAAAACTCTGAGAACAAAAAAAAGCCATCATTTTTTACCTTGAAAAACTTACGCATGAAAAAGATGAGGAAAAAAACAAAATGACAAAAATGTCGAGGTTTGCTGTTTGTTACAAAAAACCTTTTTGTTTCCAATCTCTGGTTATGATAAATGTTGATCAACATTGGAAATGTTTTGAAAGGCAAAATGCAAAATCAACTTGAAATTGATATCTTTTGGCAACACTTGGACAAGTGAACCTTACAAGTGCATTTGTGTTGATTTATTGTTTCATTTTACCATGTTGTTCATCTGTCATGGAGTCAATGACAAAATACTTTTTTTTTCAACCTTTTAATTGCATTCATTGGATCATCATTTTCTGCTAATCAGTGTCGAGTGATCATCAATTTGTCCTTATTGCCATTGGAATCATTCAAATGTGAAAACTTGTCTCAAAGAATCTGTTTTTTTGTTTCAACCATTGGATTACTGCTCATGTTTGAGTCTGTGTCTGTGCAATTTTCATCACTAAATCATCATAATCATCACCTTCAACTCATCATTACTGCCAACATCATTATCGTTTGTTCAACTTTTTTTTCTCATCCAACATCATTTTCTTGCATTTGCATTTTCAAACATTTCCAGTTTTAATTAACAATCAATGAGATTTTCAATTGACATTGAATTCAAGATTGCAATCATTTCAACAAAACTGGGTTAATCACTTGAAATGAGTAAATAATTGTAAATTGGTTATCTTTTGATTAATCATTTTTGCTCAAAACTATTGCTATTAACAATTGGTTAAGGAATTCAAGAAATGCAATTGCAAACTGTCGATCAATCATTTATTGGAAATTCAGCAAAAGTCGACTAAATCGAAAATCGATTTCCTTGTAAAATTCAAAATTTCACGATCATTAAATTGTTGAAATAGTTATCATTTGTCTTGAAAAATTTTCCCAGTTTACAGTTTTCCTTCTTGACGATGATAAATCCATGAAAAGGTTGATCCACAGTTTTCATCATTTTGTCACATCTTGATAAGTCTTGCTTTCCAAGCCTGGTCAGCTTTAGCAACTCAATTTTTCTCTCGTTTCAAATTTCATTCAACTTAAACTAGTTTTTTTTTATTTAATTATTCACTGCTTTTTAAGCAAATAATTAGCCTTGAGTACAATTAAGCTCAAAACTCAATTTACCATGAATTGATCAACGCAATAATTATCTTCAATTCCATCACTAATTTTTTCAAGCTGATCAATTACAGCTTAGAAAATTGACTTTAAATTAAAAACTTTGCCCAATTAAACAGATAAGCTTCCATCGAATTAAATATCAAATGAAGTTTCATGCAAAACATGAATTTCTCTCATCCAGCAATTGCAATCAACTTTTCAATTTACTCTTGAAATTGATTGAATATTGAAACTGAAAAAATCTTTATCCGAAAATCAAATTTTGTTTGATAGCAGTTTGAACAAAGCTGAAGACTTGATCTAGAGATTACAATTAATTGTAATGAGCAAAATGTCCAGAACTGAAGACATAAAAGTCAATAAGTTTTCAATGATAAGCAACTTTTTTCAGGTAAAACTCAATTTTCTAGGTTGAAATTGAAGGAGTAGAATAGATGATTATAAGAAAGGAAAGTAGGATCAGTCCTGGTTTTCTGGTTTTCTTCATTTTCTCTTCTCTTTTTTTTCTTCTTCTCCTTATTCTGTGCACTTCACTCTTGACCAGTAATTTGGTTGCATCGTGATCTTTTGACCAGAAAACTTCGCGTCATTAGTTAGTTGATCGAGTAAAACCTTAAGAAGTGAAGAGAAGAAGAAGAAGAAAAAAACTGTTTCTTATTTCATCAACCAATGTACATGTAATTTCATGGTCATTCAACTTTACCTTTCCTCTCTGATTTGTGAAAATAAACAGCAAAGCAAATAAGCAGCATTGTTGTGGAAACATAAAGCTCAGTTGAGATTTTAAGTTAACAATGAGGAATGGCAATCTGTTATCAACTTTAATCGTTTAGCATTATAATAAAGCTTTTCTTCTCGTCTTTTTTTTCCTCTTCATCTACATCTTCATCTCTATTCACCTTTTTCTTGAATAAACTTACCTTCGATTTAAATAACTTAATGATGAAAGATCATGATGTAACAACAGTGTTACTCTGATTTGTATCAATGTTTCCTTTTCTCGCACAACATGGCCCAAGATATTATCTAGTGAAAGATGAACATGAAAAAGTATCTCAACCCAATAACCATTTCTAGTATAACCGGACTTAACAGCAAACCTAGGCTACTTGATGCCATGAAAAATGTGTAATTTAAATTGTCTTCGGTACTTTCAACTTGAACGTTTAGCAAAGAGATTTTGCTTCATTTTTTACCTTCTTCAACCTCCATTTCTTAGGCTTGGTTTTACCTTAACCCTCAACACATCATCTGCTCTTCACTTTATCTTCTCTTTCTCTTCTCTTCTCTTTTTGTCCGTTTTTTCTTCTCTTCCTTTCTTCTTCTCTTTACCTTCTTTCACCATCTTTTTAATACTTGAGGCTACTTAAGTCGGTCAACATTTCGGTAGGACCGAACCTTAAAGATTTTGTTGCTGATAAAATTAAATTGGTAATAAAAATTGATGATGATTATTATGTTGATGATGAAAATGATGGGAAAAGATGAATCTTGTTTTGTTCATTTTGATGAGAATCCATTTTTGTTTCCAATGAAAATTATCTCAAATGTTTGCTGTCTCTTCATTATACACCATTTTTACGTTGACTCTTGATTACCTTTTTACCTTTTCATTGCTTACCCAATTTACAATCAATTAAGATTGAAATAAAATACCTGTCATCAACTAATCATTATTACCATTCTTACCTTTAATGTTTATTAATCTTTACCTTTTTCTTCTTTCTTTCATTCTCTTTAGCTAATCCAATCCCAGGTATAACCAATATTAGAATTGTTAATGTTAAAAGCTCTGAAATTAAATTATCCTGGAATCCATTGGGCGATGGTTTAATGGATGATCTTGAACGTTATGAGGTTAAATATTACCCCAAGGGGGCTGAAAGAAACATATCAACTGCTTTTACCACCAAAGAAGAGATTGTCTTGAAAAATCTTCAAGACAAAACTGATTATGCATTTCAGGTAAGCATTAATAATAGCATTTAAAAGTGCAATATTAAGTACATTTTTAATCACCATTATCGCCATTATCAAACCTCTTTTTTTTATGTTTCAACATTTTCTCTCATTTAAACATTTATCATCCAACAAAAAAGGCTCTTTTGTATTATCAAAATTCAGGGCAAAGCATCAACAGCTTTACCAACTTTTAATCTTTTCATTGAAATTACAACATTGAGTAAATGTCCATTTTCCCAGACTCACAAAGCTTATCAGTTAGTTTGCATTGCATTTGTATTGTAACAAAAAATAGACATAACTGTAACAGTTGCTTCAATACTTTATAGTCTCGTTTTTTTACAGCTTTGCAAGATTGCTTTGTTGCTATAAAACTGTGCAAACCTGAATCATGTTCATAACGTTCGGGTTAACTGATTCTCATGATAAGATCATTTAACTGAAAAGTTGACACTCTTCAACTTTTTGTGAAAAAAGTTATGAAAAGTGTTTTTTAAGCAACATTTCCTATCAGGTGTGACTTATGCTTCAAACTATTCAACATTCAATTGCAACTGTTGGACTAGACTTGCATTTAACCGTTAAAGGTTTACTTTGTTTGATCAATTTCAATGTTGTCTATGAGTCTAGTCCAACTGACGCAAATGTTGATCAGAAGTCATTTGATTTGTTCATTTATTTATTTTTGTAACCATTGAAGTTGATGACAAGTTGTTAAAGTTGATTGTAATTGAATTTTCATTGGAAATGTTTATTTACTGAACCTTAAATTTTGGCCTTTTTTGCCTGTTCGTTTCTTCATTATCCAATAAAGTTGATTATTTTGGATGAACAAGAGAATAAATTGTTTCTACTCTCTCGACTGATAATTAAGAAGCCCAAGATTATTATGTGATAATGAGATAATGTAAACATTAATTATTCTGTTTTGCAGAATGAAAAACTCTCCCATTAACTCCTCCTATTCCTTTCCTCACAGATTCGAGGTAAACTCATCTCAGGATGGACTGAATTTAGTAAACCAGTATATCAACGAACCGGTCAATTAGTTGGAAGTACAGGTAAGCTTTTAGTTGCTTTTTTTTTCTTCCCTTTTCCAACTCTTAATAATAGGTAGTAATCATCATTTGTGATAACATTTTTCATCCCAAGGATAATGTTGATTTGTTATTTGCTTTTTTCTGTGTTCCATTTATCAACAACAACAACTCATTTATTTCAATGAGTTAAGAGGTTGAACAAGAAAAAGAAAGGTAAAAAAGATTAAGGTAAAAAGAGTATAAGTTGTTGATAGAATCTCATTAATTGTTTCAACCCTTTTCCATGAAACCCATGAAAGGCAGGTTTAACAGGTCTAATTGTGTCATTAAATTTAATTTCATGGTCAACCTTATTGTTGACTGTTACATATTAAAAAAATGTTTAAGCGTGTTGTACGTGTTTATTAACTTGAAAGATAACCTTTACAAACCTTTCTCCTAGTTTGGGTTCACGAAATGTTGAGCCAAAACTTTCGTTGGACAACAATCAAGATTATAAACTGTTGATGAGAAGTGATGAGAGGACGATTAAAAGGTTTTAATTAACTAAATTTGATCACGCAAAGTTGTTTGTTTAGATGCAATAAAAATGTATATTTATGCACATTGGATGAAACTAAAGATGAGCTTACCTTGTTTACCAACAATTTAAAGGTGGGTCAAAGATGATACTGGTGTTGATGTATCAACCACGGTATGCATCAATTAAAGGTGAGCTCATCATCTTCATCTAAATTTTTCTTCTTCTTTTCCCTCTTCTATCAACATCATCTTGTTGGTTTAACATCACGATAACTCGTCATTTACTCTCTTTACAAATTAATTGCTCGCTCATCTTAACCTCAAATTAACTTGAAATCGCATGTTGATTGTGATGATAAAAAGGAGCAAAAAAAAATCTCAATAATTATTGTTGCCTTCATTTTGATCATCTTTTTTTGCTCAACTTTGAAAACTTGAATTTACTCAAGAAAACCAATTTACAAGTTAATGGTTAATCAACAAGGATGTTTCATCTTGTTTAATTGCTATTCAATCTTCTTTAAATTGTTTACTCCAATTAACTGATTAAACAATTTTCCAGTTCATTCCAATTCTTGATTAATGATGCGATTCAGTTGACAAATTTTGCATCCAATATTTGAATGTTTTTTTTGAAGAAATTGATTTTTACAAGAAAAATTGAAAACTCGAAATGAATTGAAAATTAAATTAATGTAAATTTTACTTTTTTTGTTCAATGTTCAGTAATGAAAAAGTTGATCGATTTACTCTTTGCTTAAAATTCATTGTTAGAGGGTAAAAATTATACGAATTGCCATTCTGATAAAGTTTTACATTAAATGTTCATTTCGAGACTTGTATTGACTTTATGTAAAGTTTATCAAATGGATGAAAATTGATTGAGAAAAGTGAAGATAAATTGTTCCATTTAATGTTGTTTTGTCCAAATTTAGTTGAGTTTTTACATTTTACTTTCTACTCTTTCGTCTTTTAATTTGATTCGAGATTCGGTGTTTCAAGTTATCTCAAGAATTTGCATCATTAAATGTGCATCATTTTTTTCTGCTTCTCTTTTCATTTCGCCTGAATTTAATTCCATCAGTTGATGGATTTCTTGATGGAAACTTTATTCTGTTGTTTCTTGTTTACTGATTTGCAAATAATTGCGCAAAGGAATCGCAAGGAAGAAGAATAAAAAAAAGACTAAAAGAAGAAGAAAAAAGTTGATATAAATTTTTGACTCTCTGTTATTTAAAGCACCAAATTGCCTTGGGTTATCTATTTTCCGGTTCCTCAACTGAACTTGTTTCACTTAATTTTCATTTTCACTCCTCACTGCATAAGAATGCAATTGAACACGAGTGACCCATGATTACCCTGTTTATCATCAGGTTTATTTAATAGGCAAAGACTATTACAATTATACGGATCATCAAGTTCCAATGAACATAATATACCTTGGAAATGAAGAGAAGAGGGAAAAAACATTTGAAAAATAACATGAAAACAGATTGAAAGAGAAGCTAGAAAAATGTTGACTAACCATAAACATCATCAGCATGATTCACCTTCAAATAAACAGTTAATTCAATTGAACATTTAACAAATAATCAACAATGAAATTGAAATTTAGTCGAGTGAATATAATTTAATCACTTGAACCATGAACAAACTTTTGTCAGATAAAAGTTATTGCAACAAAAAAAAGTTGAATACAAAAAATGGAAAAAGAAAAAGCAAATAAACAAAATTGAACAACATTGAAAAATATGAAAAGTTCATTCAGTTATCACATTTTTTAAAACATATTGAACACAACTAAACATTGAACTAAACATTGAAGCAACATTGAAATGCTCATTGAAATGCTCATTGAAATACACAACATTGAAAGACATTCATTGAAAGCATTTTACTTTGTTGAAATGTTGATCATTTTAAAATTGGCCTTTTCTCATTTTATTTCATTCCTTTTCAGCTTACATTGGTGAAGATGATTCAGTTCAAGTGCGAATCATTGCTGGTGTTACAATTGCCATTGTGGTCCTTGTTGTTGTCATCGGTGTCATGATTGTTCTCTACTTAAGAAGGTATGTTTGGAATTTTCTCTATTCATTTCATCTTCTTTTCCCTCCCAACTCTTCCTCCTCTTCATTATCATCTTTCCCATTTTGCTGTACAAAAAAATTATCTCAAAATTCCTGAAAATCATTGGACCAGTGAAACATGAGCAAAACAAGAACAGAAAAAAAATATTAACACAAAACAAAAATCTCACTTTCTTTACCTTTCCACCGAATCCATCAGCCATTCAATTTTTTCTTCCATGTTATTAGTAAAAAAAGACGCTTTTCCCTCTCTTCCTACCAATTTTGGGCTATCACTTCACCTTTCCCTGTTTACCTTTTACTTCAATCTTAATCTGTTTCAGTCAATCAACATTCCTAGTTAATATCATTTTGTTTCATTCAACTTTATATCAGTCTCACAATATTGATCTTTTTACTCTAAAATTCACTAATCAAATGAAACCTCTTAAAATGGATCAAATTATATTTTCCTGATTCTTTCACTTTTTCCCTCAACTTTGATTTGATTTTTCTTCTTCTTCTTCTTTAAAAAGGCAAACAAATAAAACAAAAAAAAAGTGTTTTTCCCTTGAAATGTTCATGTTATTTTAGCTTGAAAAGTCTTTACCTTTTCCTTTGTGCCTTATTCAGTTAACATTTAATAACGTGATATTATTAGTTAGTTAATTTTACTCTTATTTTGTCTGTCAGTTTTGATATTTTGCCTGTTTTCATGATAACTGCCTCAAGGCAATTTCCTCTTTCATTTTGCTCTTTTTGCCTGAACTTTTCTTGCACTTCTATTTCATTCCATTGTTTACTCTATTAATTTTACTTCCTTTCGGTTCAATGAGTTTCACCTTTTTCTCCAAAACCAAAAGTCAATTGAACTTTTCCATTGATTAACATTGACCTTATGTGATTTACAGAAACACTGACGAGTGCAACAAGAAGCAACCAAGTGACTGTGATACTCTTGAATATACTCGGAATGGCGATGGTAAGTTAATTGTTACACTTGAACCTACTTAACTTGACACAATTTAAACTGGTTGACCAAATTACCATCTAAGGATTAATCAAGATTCATCAAGATTCATCAATTGTTGACTTGCACCAACACAATATTTAAACATTACCATGACTTTTTATGGTCATTACTCTATTTCCGATGAACATGATGAACTTTGTTGACAGATGAATATTATTTTCATCTTATTTTCATCTCATTTTGCGAAATGGAGAAAAATGTAGTTCCAATAAATTAATGGGTAACATGAATAACAAGAATGACAGTGTCATTGGGTTTATGATGAATCTTTTTCTTCCTCTTCTCCGAGCTGATTACTTTCATCATGAAACTCAATGGACTTTCCTCTCTCTCTCCTTCTTTCAACTCCAATTGATCAATGGTTTAATCTGATTTTGGTTCATCAAAAATTCTGTTGCCGCCTTGCCCATTATTTGTACTTGAATCTCGCCCTCACAATATTCACCATGATAATGATGAAGATAATGATATAGATGATGAAAAATGTTGGCAAACATGAAAAAATGTTGAAAAGAGCGAGAGAGAGAGAAAAAAAAGTCTGAAAAGTCAATGTGTTCATTATTTATCAATATCAACATGAAAATGGAAACTTGCTCAATGATATTAATAATAACAACTTTTCCTATTATTTAAGTATTATTATCATTTTCATCATCATCATCACACTACGCCCTGAAACCTACTCTTTAACAACATCTTTTTTTTCATCCTCTTTTCTTGCTCTTAATCACGAGTTAGTTTACTGTGTTACATTGTCTCATGCAAACAATTCAAGGTGTGCCTGTGTGAACAGGTAAAATGTCATCAACTTGTTATACAGTCAACAGTATAATGAATAGTTATGATTCTTTATTCAGTCAAATTACCTTTTCAATTATCACAATCATGTAAACATTATCTAATTTCATGAGTATTAACATTGTAATTAAACTTTTCCTCATTTTCAACATTTTTTTCATCTAAGGATTACAATTGCATTACAATTGCATTAAAATTTCATTACAATTTCATTCCTTCAATTGATAATTATTGTTGATTCTTCTTCTTCTTCTTCTTCTTTTTCCTTCTCTCTTCGTCACATTTTCACCCTGTTAGTCTCTGAATCCTCCTGTTAATTATAAAACTATCAGAATTGCTAATGAAATGTTGAATTTTAAAAGTTTCTCTTCCTTTAAACCTTTCAAATGTTCAATTTACTCAATGATAATGAATGTTAATCACTATTATGTGATTGAGGTAACTTGATGATTAAATGATAATGATGATGGCTAATGATGACAGAGATGAGAAAACCATGATTGTCGTCATTATTAAGTTAACAGTGAAAATTAAATTCTTTGTTTGTTCCCAAATTACTTGTGGCTATCAATACAATTCAGTTTCATTTCATTCAGTTTATCCAAACAAGAACTTTTCTCTCTCTCACTTCAAATGTTGATTTAATGATTGAAAGGGACCAAAAAATGAACGAGTTAATTTGAGAAAAATTAACTTCTGTTTTTGATAACATAATTATATTTCTCAAGTAGCAACACCGTTATCCTGATGACTATTTTATCCTGGTTTTTCATGAGATTCAGTGTTGTCTAATGATTATTTTGCTGTTTTTACGTTGTACTTGTTTCCAATCAAATTAACCTTAAGAAGTATGAGAGAGAAGAAGAAAAAAACGAAAACTTTAATCATCTTTACCATCATCATTATCATCTTTTCCAAGTTTTTCAAGAACTTTTCTTTTCTTTTCTCCCCTGGTTACTTGATTTTGCATGGTTCAATAGTTGCCAGAAACTTGATCCTCGAACTTAATTGTTACTTTTTTCATCTTCTCTCTCTCTTAACTCTTTTTCATCCATTTTCATCCTCATCATCTACATGAAGAAGCAAAAACATCCAACTATGATTCAAGGTAACCTTTACTTACTGTTGAGGTGATTAATCCGATAATAGCTATTACAATGCATCAACAATTTCCAAGTTAATTATATTAAGATTACTCGAAACAGTGAGTTTAATCATCAGTCAATTGTCTTCATCTTTAACCATTTTCATCATTTTTCTCCATTAAAATTATTCTTTCCTCTCTCAACCTTTTCCATTTTCAATCAGATAAAACCATGAAAAATTCAATTTCTATTATTTATAACTTTTCTTCTCCAACCTTTTATCAATGAATATTGAACATTATTATTCTGTTTGTTTAACGCAAAAATCAACCTTTTTTGTTGAAAAAAAGAGAAAAGAAAAGAAAAGAAAAGTTTCGTTCATGGAACATGAATTTCTCTTCTTTACCTGTTATTCAATTTTCTTGTTTCATCTTTTCATTTCTTTCGCCGGTAAACATTTTGCCTTGTTGACAATGAAAATGTTTCCTTGACATGATATCCAAGTTGACAAGATGAACATTTTCATGTTTACTTCCGTATTTACAGTTTGAAACTACAATTAACTGATTATTGAAAATAAACATCTGAGTATCAAATTAACTTGTCAACTGATTGGTCAGTTACAGTTGCTATAATTATCTGGAAAAGAAAAGGAAAATTTCCGTTTTTTTAATTTTCTCACATTTCATCCAATTTCCACCTTCTTGTCATCAGGTTTACCTTTGTTGATTTAAAGATGATTAAAATGATTGGACATGGGATAGAGTTTCACAGATTATCATTGGTCAAACAAATGATAATTATAATAGTTTATCAACAACGAGTAAACATCTGTCATCACTCTAATTGTTGACAGACTTGAATAATTGTTTTAACCTTTTCTTGAAAAATTGTAAATAACCATGAATTATACAAGATTGGGTTTGGCTTACAATTAACTAGATAATAGAGAATCAACTGTTAATTATAATTGTTGAGTTGAGACAAAAGTCATTCCATGTGAACATTTCATTCATAATCATTTATAATCTGTACAAGACGATGAGTTGCGATAATATCTTAATATCTAGTTAAAGACAGGAAATGGTCATCAGACAAATGTTTGATAACTTTTTATCTTCATCATCATTCATCTCTTCCTTTGGGCTTGTCCATTCTCATCTTTACCATTTCAGGAGTAAAAACCTGTCATTAGATTTCAAGTTGCATCAAATTACTAAGAAAATTTGATTAATCGCAAGTCTCATTAATATCTCAATATGAACAACATTTACATGCAACATTTGCAAAATTCCGTAGAGAATCAGAATTTCTCAAAACTCTCAACCTTTCAACTTTATCTTCAAGTGTAAAACCCTGTCCAATAGGTTTACTCATTTCCAAATGCTAATTTTGTTTCTTGTTTTTCGAGTTCAAGATTATTCAAAGATCGATATTTCTTGTAATAAAAACTTTTCCCAAAAGTTTTTGGAAAAATGTTCAATTCCAAATTTCAGAATCTCTCAAAACTCCTTTCAACTTTACCTTTCAATTGAAAAACCTTGTCCAAATGGTTTAACCAAAAAACCTTTTCTATTGAAAAATATCAGAAATTTGTTGAAATGAAAAACTTCATTTTCTTGAATAAAAAGTTTTTTGAGAAAATGTTCAGTTTGAATGTTCATCTGGAAATTGATTCAAAGTTAATTTGAAGTGATTAAGATTTATCGAAATTACAATTTGGTGATTTCCATGTAAAAGGAGAAACAGTTTACTGTTTTCATTGTTGGTCAATTGATTGATTAAAATGATCTGATTGTTGTTTGGTCAAAGTTGTTTGCTTTTTCGATAATTTAATCAAATAATTGCAACCAAATCCCAATAAATGTCAAGTTAACATGTTTGACTGTAACATTGATTAATGCAATTGCAAATGTAACACTATTAGGTGAACAAATGTAAAGATTGAACCCTTTTTACTGTTTTCAAGCCTAATTAATTAATGGCTTCAATGTTTCCCTCTCAAGCAAAAGCATTAATAATGAACATAATTTTTAAACATTACAAAGGTCATCAGTTATTCAAATTAATGGTTAACTTTTTTCTTCCCTGTTTCCCTTAACAGTACCTTCACTAGAGCATCCACCAATAGTGCCAACAGCAAGATGTAAGTTGATTAAAAGTAAATAACTGAAAGTTATAAATTAGCGAAACAAAAAAGACGAAAATTAATTTTTCCTTTTTCTTGAAATTCTCAGTTAACTCACCATTCTCAGTGACCACACCATTATTTACACACTGTGGCACCTCCAGAGCCTATGTTGATCCTCATACATACGAAGATCCTCACCAAGCAATTAGAGAGTTTACTCGAGAGATTGATGCATCACATATCACAATTGAGGCCATCATTGGCGGAGGTAAGTCAATGAGAAAACTTTTCAATTTCAATCAATTACAAACCTTTTGATGAAACTTTTCAACTTTTCTGTTAAAATGTAAAAATCATTTGAAAGCTATCAAAGCCATCAAAATTTAATTATTTGGCTCATCATCTTTCAACAGTTTCCACTTTATCACATTAAATAGCAATCATTGAAAGTCTGGAAAAGCTATTCTGTACAAAAAAGTCTACATTTGCATCCAATGCCTAGTTTTTTTACCTTCACCTTCTCATGTGCAATTCAAATTTACTCATCATCTTTTTCCTGTTTCACTTTATTTTTCAACAAAAAAAAAAGAGTGAAAAGAAACTCTGAAAACCTGGGGAGAACTTTTTTTTTATTGAAAAAAAAGTAAAGCAACGGTGTTCATCTCATCTTGATCATGATGTTTAGTTGGCAAAACATTGCCATTGAAATGGCTAGAAGGCTTTTCAGTGTTTGCCTTAAACAAGTGAAAGAAGAGCAACTTTGAAGTGAAGAAGAAAAATGAAAAATATATTAGATGAAAAGAAATGAGAAAATAATATTTTCTTCACAGGTTATCATGGCGGGTAAATTACTCGGGACCAGCATGAGGGAGGTGAGCAAGGTGAAGAAGAAGATGAGAAAAGTAAGAGTAATTTTCATCTCTTGAACCTTAAGTTTCAATTTGAAAGTAAATAGCAGGTAAACAGTGCTGACAGAGAAGCTTCAGGGTCTGGCTGTTCGTATTTAAAGTTGTTTTTTTATCTTCTTTCAAGCCCAAAACAACGAATGATGAGAAACACAGAAGTGATGAAGATATTTTTTACAAGATGATGATAAAATCCCATTTGATGCGTCACGGTAACTTTGAAAATCTTTGATGAAAATTATTCAATTGATGAAGCAAAGGGCCTCAAAGTCCCCTCTAAAGTTTACTTTTCATCCTCTTCTTGTTCATCAATTTTACTCTAGTACTTGCTGCTGGCTTCCCTGAGGAGAGTTGCAAGATAATTCTGAAGAAAGGTTTCTTTTCTTCACCGAATTAACATCTAAATAGAATTGAAATTCAGGGTGGAATTAATAGTTACATTATCATTAAACTTTCCAACGAAAAGTGTGTTCACTGTTGATTAACATTTCCATCAATTGATAATCATTTTTTGTTGCGTCCATATTTCCTCATGTTGACCTTTAATTGTTTCATCAATGATAACCTTAACCTTAGTCTCTTCTTTCCATGAAATGCAGCCAATTTCAATTATTGATTTCAATTGTTGAATGTTTTTTCAAGCTTTGCACAGTTTTCCTCATTAATTTCAATGTTTTCACTTCTTAATCATCATCAGCTTGAGTGGAAACGCTTTTTTTTTCATTTCTTTTCATTTCTTTTTCTTCTCTCATCAGCAATCATATTTCATCAAATTACTTTTATTCAGAAAAAAATTCATTCTTTCATTTTCTTCTCATAACCATTCATTTTTGCATCTCATTTGTAACACTTAAATCAGAAAATAATGAGAAATTATTTTCATTATTGAACATTATTGATAATCATTTTTACAACAACAAATAAGTTGAAAAGTTTTATTGTAATATCAATGTTATTGATTTGATTCAACTTTTGTGCTCATTTTTTTAACTCAACTTTTTTCTTCTCTCAACCTTGTTCACGATTGATTATCAGGTGAATTTGGTGATGTTTGCCGAGGTAAACTGAAAATTCCAGGTCGACCTGAAGTTACAGTTGCCATTAAAACATTAAAACCTGGAGCTGCTGATAAAGCTCGAATGGATTTCCTTACTGAAGCATCCATTATGGGACAATTTGATCATCCAAATGTAATTTATTTACAAGGAGTTGTAACCAAAAGTAATCCCATCATGATAATCACTGAATACATGGATAATGGATCTCTTGATGCCTTTTTAAGGGTCAGTTTTGTGTTATTTTCATTCCCTCATCTTCAAGAGTAAAATGAGAAGAAAAAAAATGTCATTCAAATTTTCTCCATAAACATTTTTCTCCCTTCTCTCAAAGGTTAAACAACTTATGGTTAGTTGATATTGGATAACAATTGAATACTTTTATGATCAATAAGCTTTCAAAATAAACAGAGATCGCAATAAAATGAAGGATTAAATGATCATAACTGTTACTTTGTCCCAGTTAAAGTGTATTTCAATATCAACTGAATCATTTCCAGGTTGAAAGGAAAACATTTGTTTCCAAAGATAAGCTCAAGGTGCAATTTCGCCCAAATTAATCCTAAATTATTGAACTCAATATCTCAAGATTTACCTGAAAACTAAACATTTTACAGACAACTTTATTGGCTCAAAGGAACCAATGTTTTCAATATTGAAATTTTGCTAAAAATGACATTTTCAAGACTCTTTTTACTCTCGATTGTAAATCAAATGTTAACTGTTAACTAATCATTTTTTGTTTGTTTAAACAGGCAAATGAAGCTAAATTTCAAATTATCCAATTGGTAGCCATGTTGAGAGGAATTGCTGCTGGAATGCAATATTTATCAGAAATAAATTATGTTCATAGGGTAAGTTAACTGTTAATCAATCACTTAAATTGTGTTTTCCATTGGAAACAATCACTAAACATTTATACAAATCATTTGTTGACTTTTCTCAATGGCAGTGATGAGAGAGTTAAAGTTGATTTATACTTTAGGCAAAAGTCATTTTTGCTTACAATAATGTTTACTGTGAAACTCATTCGTCATCATTTTAATCTTCTTCTTCTTCTTCTTCCTCTCGGATGATAGGATTTAGCAGCACGCAATGTGCTTGTCAATGCTGCTTTAGTTTGTAAAATTGCTGATTTTGGCCTTTCACGGGAGATTGAAAGTGCTAATGAAGGCGCCTACACAACAAGGGTAATCATTTTCATCTTTATCTTCCTTCTTCTTCCTTTCTTTTCTTCTTCTTCTTCTAGTTAAACCTCTTTGTTTATCCTCTCATTATGTATATCTTTATCATTGTTGTAACTTGCATCAACAAAGATATCAAAAAGAGTCAACCTTTCATCAAATCTTTTGTCTAACAACTCAAACACGTACCTTTACCTTTACCCAATTTCATTATTCCCACATAATTCATTACCTCATTAACATTCAATCTTGCAACAAGATAATCATAACTATTCAATTTCCCATCCTCATCATATGCTTACTCCATCAATTAGTGTGTAAAGCACAAAAATGAACCCAAATTTCGAGAAAATTTTGTTACCAAAAAAAAGACGAAAAGAAATTAATTTTCCATTCATTCCATGTTTCACTTTCACCTCATTTCCCTTTCCTCCAAATCCTTTCCTTCAACCTCTTTTGTCCATCAATAGTCAATCCTCATCATCACCAAACATCATCATTATCATGTCCTCCTACCATTTCCTCTTTAACCTTATCCAAATTTGATTATAAAACTCTGATTAGAAACTTTTGTTGATTTAGTCTTTTTCCCTCTAATTTAACCTTAAAAATGTGTTTCCATTCAAGCAAACAACCCAACACACAATGTAAACCCATGTTTATCTAATTGTTTGCCTCTGTTAACTAATTATAAAACCAACTCAATGTAACTTAAATTAATTCAGAAGAAGCAGCAAAAAATGTCCTTTCCTTTTCCTCTTTACCCTCCCAGTTTTACCTTGATCATCATGAAAAACCTTCCCTCAAGGGCAACAATGATTATCATTTCATTTTTAAACCTGCCTAATGACAAAGCCTCAACTCTCATGTATATCATTCATTTGATAGCAAACTAGCTTGACGACAAAAAAAGAGGTTCAAATGAAAGCAAGAAGGTTGACTTTGAAATGAAGTGAAAATGTTAATATTTAGTTTTAATTGTAAAGTTAGTTTGCCAAACCATTAATTGACCCTTGAATGATTATCAACCTTTCACCGCTAATTCATTACCATCCAATTAAACCCATCAACAGATTTATGAGAGTAAATCTAAAACTCATATTTTTCCGATTTTCTTATTTTCAATTGTAAAGGGAGGAAAAATTCCAGTTCGTTGGACAGCACCAGAAGCCATTGCATTCCGTAAATTTACCTCTTCAAGTGATGTCTGGAGTTTTGGTATTGTTTGCTGGGAAGTTTTATCTTATGGTGAAAGGCCGTATTGGAATTGGTCTAATCAAGATGTAATTAAAGGAATTGAAAAAGGTTATCGACTTCCTCCGCCAATGGTAAGTTAATTGTCATTATATTTACCTTAAACTGATTCAATGACATTTTCAAGTTGATATCCTGATGAACACATAATGAAAAGTCAATATCAATAGCAGCTCAAGATTGGCATTCCTTGTGATTCGGAAAACTTATCTTCAACAAAAAAGAATCATTTTTATTACCTTTTCTCCAACTTGATCAACTTACCTTTAATCAACATTCATCTTCAAGTTACATCTCGACTAATAGACAAACATATTTGTTTGTTTCTCAAGTAATCTCTAGTTTCTCATTCTCTTCATTTGTGATCTTTTATATATCTCTAATAACCATTGAAAAGAAGAAGAAGAGAAAATATGAGAAAAAAAAGAAACATTTATTCTTATTCTTACCTTTGCCTTAAAAAAATACCTTGTTATGAATTTGCTTACTTTATGACCTGTGGCTTTAAAGCTCAGCAGGATAGGTAAAATGATTGAAAAACTGGTAACATGTTTCATCTTGATCATCATCTTATTCATCATCCTCTTTGTCTCTTTTTTTTTCTTCTCCTTCCATCATCTTATTCATCATCTTTTTTTCCCTTTTCATTACTGCTGTTTCCTTTCAAACCCTTAGAAGGTGATTTAAGTAACAAGAACAAAAAATGAGCCATTTTCTTAAGGCTATTTTCGCCATCATTATCATCATCTTGTATGATCTGTTACCAAACTTTTTTTTCCTTCTTCTGTACATTTCTACATTTTTGTAGTACTTGGTAAACAACGATGATGAGCCGATACTGGTTAAGATGATTCCTTGTCATTTTTCATTCTCCCTCAACTCCAGCAACATCATCTTTAAATGTATCAAACCCTGTCAATCACTTTTTCCTATCTTTGATCCGTCATTTTTTTTCTCGTCATTTCATCTTTTTTGGCTCCTCTTGTGTTGATTCAAGCAAAAGTAGAGAAAATAGGAAAACTGAAAGATTTGTTAACACGTTGTTTCGCCTTCTATCATTGCAATATCTTCATTTCAGGTCATCTTCCAGGTCAAAGATAGTTTACAGAGAAAACAAGAAAAGAGGATTTTCTAGGGATTACACTGTTTATCAAATTGAGCTGCTTGTCACCTTGTCTTGAGCATCTTCATCATGATTCTGCCATGATCAGTTCTCATTGGAAACATTTTCAATCTTTCCTTTTCCACTCTGATTTATGTTGATAATTTTTATCATAATCATAATCATGGTAAAGTTGACTTTCTATTTGTTGAGGGAAGCGTAAAATTTGTCCTCCATCGTTAGGGATCCATACAATGTTACTTGTTACCAAATGAACAATAATTTTCTTTGTTGTGGTTACCATTTCTTTCTGTCATCTCTTCTCTTCTCTTCATCTTTCGTTTTTGATAATTAATCGCTTTGCAACTGTTGATGGTTTATTCAGCTTCTCATCACTGATTTCAAGCAACCATTTCAAACTCCTTTATATAACTTTAACCATTTCATGTTTCTTTCCCTTCTTCCCTCTCTTTTCAAATTTACCCTCAAGTTATTTGCAAACTCATACAATTGGCATCATCAACACACAATCATTAAAGGTACTTCATTGTGAACAATAATAAGATGCAAAAAAAGAAGACTCAGTAACAATAACATGAAGCAAATTTACAATGAATGCCATCAGCTTCATGATCGTTTTCCATCTTTTTTTTTATTCCCTGTTTTGGGTCAATTCAATATGAATAAATTTCTTTCATTTATATTCATGTTTGTTTTCACCTTTTACTTTTCATCTTTTTCTTCATCTGTTTACATTTGAAATTGTTTCATTTGAATTGCCCGTAACCATTGCATTATCTAGTTAACTCTCGTTTTTCATCTGTTTATCTGTGGTTTCCCTCTGAACATCTTGAGATACGGTTCGAGCCTCTTCTGTATCAATTTCATCTGATAATGTTTATTTCCTTTCTTTCGTTGCTCTCTCTCTTTCCTGTTGCCTAGAAGCGTTGAAAAAAGCATTCATCTGTAGGCGTTTGTGTACCATTTTTTTGTGTTAAACATTGAATTATCTGAATATCATTTTTCGGTCTCTTTGTGTTACTATCTTCATTGCAATCTGTGTAAACCTCATTATGTTACAGTTAAGGTTCAAACTGATTGTTCAATTGGTGATAAAAATACATGAAAATGTCATTCTTTCTTTTTCGATTTCCAATTTCTAATCACTTGATTGTCTTGATTTCAGGATTGTCCAGAGGCTCTTCACCAATTAATGTTGGATTGTTGGCAGAAAGATCGTTCAACTAGACCAACCTTTTCACAAATTGTTAAAACTTTAGACAAATTAATGAGATGCCCTGAAAGTTTGCAAAAAATTGCACCAACAAGGTAAATTGAATGATGTTTGTATAAGCAAAAGCTAAACAAACAAAAGCCACAGTTGAGTGAAAATGTGATGAAAGTTGCAAAAATTAACAGATCAGCAAAATATTACATTTTCACTTATTGATTAAGCCATTGGATTTACCTTTAACCGTCTGATTTATGAACGGTTTATTTAAAGGTTTAATTGGTAGATTTGCCAGTAAATCATTTCATATACAAAATTGGTTGAAATGTTTGCTCAGCAAATTTTCAATCCTTTTAATGCTTAAACTAATGTCTTGTTTTTGCCAACTTGATTCCTACAGATATCCACCTTTGGATCCTTTTGGTGATCCAGTTATTCCTGATGTAGTCCAGTTCAAGACAATTGATGAATGGTTATCTAGTATTAAACTGACCCGTTATCGACCCAACTTTGAAGCTGCTGGACTAACCAATATAACATCCGTCTTCCATTTGATGCCTCAAGATCTCTCCTTACTAGGAATTACAGTTGTCAGCCATCAAAAGAAGATATTGACAAGTTTACAAAATTTGCGAGCTCAGACAAGCATTGGAACACCTGAAGGATTCCTTGTTTAACCAGTTTTTTCATCATAGATTTAATTCACTTGCAATTATTGGAAATTATTTCAAGAAAAAATGGAACTAAAATGGAACCCAATTTTGGTCCATTTACATGAATTTGTTTCTTTTCTTGGTTTTATTCATTCTTTTCCAATGAATATCGACTGAGATAATTTTCAAGATCTCTTCCAGTTTTACTTTGATAAATTTTGGATGCAATTTGGAATCAACCAAGGAATTAGGAAAATTAAAATGACAATCAACTATCACACAAAGCAAAGGCCTTCCAAAGTTCTCAATCAACTGTTAAACCTTTTCTATTTATCAATTAACTTGGACAGTTTAATATCTTGATGTTTGGCCATTTATATCAAGATAATGGATTAAGTTTACAACTGGACATCAATCCTGACTCTTCCCAAGATTAACCTAAACTCGCTTTTTGATGCATACTCAGGCTCATGATAATCTGTTAATTTCAACTGGACTGTCAACTTGTTAATTAACGGAACAAATGCTCAACAATTTTTGGTGCTTTTTTTGCAAATCCTCGACTAAAGACACACTCATAATTGTAAAAATCAACCCAAAAAATGTATCTAATTTTCTAGGTTGATTTATGTCTTGATTTATTGCTATTGCAATTTGGTTTTGTTTTAATCAATTTCATGCTTTTCCACATTAATCTAAATTGTTTAATCGAAATTCCAATGAAAAGATTAACAATCCAAAAGAAATATTAATTGGAAAAGCAAAAGAGATTAAAATAATCCCATTCGAATTGTGATTTTCTGTTGGAAAAGACTAAACCAAAATAGCAAATCAAGCAAAATTAACTAATTATGCATTCTAATTAAGTATAATGTAATATACAAAATCTATAAATAATTTGTAAATGTATTTATATGTCAATTGTAACACCAATCAGGTAACCAATCAATTTAATTTGATTGGTTACCTTTCCATCAACTCCTCTTTTCTCTCATTTTGTTTTCTTCTCTTGATTGTTGTACAAACTGTAAATACAAGTTTACAAACTTAATTACATGAACAAAGAAACATCAACCTCATAGGGAATCGAAAGAGCAATATAATTATCATGACAATTTGTTTCTCCAACAATCAAGACAATGTAACAAGATCACAAAATTATGGCGACAATTGAACTGCTTTTGATTCCCATTTTTCCCTCTTCCTTTTAATCAATTTGACTGGTTGACAATGTCCAAAATTTCAAATTATTTTTCATCCAACTTTTTCTGTTACAAAATTTTGGAGCTTTGAAAATGTCTTTTCTGGTTCTTTTTTGGATTCTACAGAAAATATGTTTTCTGGTTTCATTGTTTGGTCACATTTGAATCTATTTTTTTCTTCATTTCTTTCTATGCACTTCTAGTAATTGTTGTTACCAACTTAATTTTGGAATCATCAGTTCAATTGTCTGTTCATAATCTATGTCATTCTCATTTTCAGCTTTTCTTAAGCAAACCCAAAAATCTAAGTCATTGGAGTTACATTCAAACTGTAAATTTAATTGTAACAAAGATTATAAAATAAATGCAAAATTATTTTTTGACATGAAAAATTTGACTCCATTCTTTCAATCAGTGAATATTCTGATCGCCAATTAGCAAATTTCAATTTTTAACCAAGATTGAGATAAACTTATTTCAACTTATTCCAAGTTTGCTTTCAATTTAGGGAATTTGTCAAGCAATACGAATAAACGCGATTCGTACAAATGATCAGAATCATGTCAATAAACTAGTTACAAGCTTATTCCAATTTAATTACACAGACTAGAGATTTAGTTGATAGAGCCATTAATTTCGATTAATTTGGTTAGTAACAAAACAGCTTTAAATATTAAATAATCGTTTACAATCAAATGGGTTTTATTGTTAGAAATTAATCATTTCAACTCAGATTATGACATTGAATGAAGAAGCACTTGAAGTGGACTCAGGGAGTTTTGGTTGTTAATAAATCACAGCTAACACAATTATGCACAAATTCTCAATCAGAATACGATCTTATTTTGAGAAATAAAATATTTCGTTTTCTGTAAAAAGGATAAGTTCGATCTTCATTTAAAATGATCTTTTTCTGTAACCAACAGAGTTAGCAAGCTGGAACTTCTTATACGTCCATAAAAGTTATTTGTTTACATCATGGACTAAATGTTTTTTCCAATTTATCAATGATTCTCTGGATTCTGGCCATTAGCCTGAAAACTTTAACCCTCGATATTTCGAGAATGGAATAAGCGACAATAATCAAACTTTTACCGAACATTAGATTTCAGCATGGACTATAATATATGGAGATATGAAATTTTTCAAGATTCTACAGAAAAGTTAGACCATTGTATTACCTTGTTACCAAATTTTAGACTTGGTTTAAGTTAGCGCACAAGTCTTGTGTGTAAGTGGGATATTCGTTATTAATAAATGAATTAGCGCAGATTTTATTCGACATTTAGTCATATTATATTTTAGCCCATAATGTGATCTAATGTTTGATCGTTTTTTGATGATTGTGGATAATGCCATTCTCGAAATATCGAGGTTTAAAGTTTTTTAGTCCGATGGCCAAAATCAGAAGAACGATTGATGAATTAAAAAAAGCATTCAGTCCATGATGTGTACAAATAATTTTTATAGACGAGCAAGAAAATTAAGCTTACTAACTCCGATGGTCTCCTAAATAATTCGGTTCAGATCAAAATCGAACTTAGCGGTTTACACAAAACGGAAAGTTTTATAGCCCGAAAAAAGAGAACCTACTGATTGACAATTGAAAGCTACATCAGAATTATGAGTTTTATGAAAGAATCCACTCTCATAACAGTACAAAAGACGATCAAAGTTCAAACTTTAACGTCGATTTTTTCGAAAACTGTTGACCTGAGAAACTTTTATTTCGCACAGATGGATTCATGTTAAGTGTCTCTACAAACGCACCAAGTCTAAACTCTTAGCTCAAATGTTGGAGCCTTTGGCAGTGATCTTTGCATTTGCAATTCTAACCAGAAAATTGCTTCATTTATCTGGATTTGGGTTGAGATGAGTTTGTTTTGTTAAATAAGCTGTTGCTCGCTCATTAACAACCCAAAACTCAAGACCCAAATGTACTGATGGCGAGTTTGCAGATTGAACTGTAGTATTTATTAGTATAAGATTAAATTGTTGTAAGAATGATGCCTGTAGGTCCCACAATTCTCGAAATATCGAAGCTAAAAGCTTTAAGACCAATGGCCAAAATCGAGAGAACTCTTAATAAGTTGAAAAAGGTACTCGGGCCATGGATTGAGCTAACAATTTTAAAGGATTGATAAGGAGTTTAAGCTCTCTAACTCAGATGGTCTTTGAAATAAGTCGTTTTAAATAAAAATCGAACTTATTGTATTTACAGAGAACGGGGAGTTTTGTTTCTAAATATAAGTATATTTTCTGATTGAATAGCAAAAGGTTCATCAGCAAAATGAGTTTCATAAAAAAGGTGTCACTCATAACCGTACAAAATTCGATCAAAGTTTAAAATTTAAACTCAATTTTTTCGTGAACTGTTGATCAGAGAAACTTTTTAATCGCACAGATGGATTCATGTTTAGTGTCTCTACAAACCAGCTTAGGCTAAAGTCGATAGAAATCAGTTTTCAGCCTCTTTGCAATATTTATGGGCAGCAAGAGGCCAAAAATTAATTTCTTTCAAATTTAGACTGAGCTAGTTTGTAGAACCTCAAAATGCGAATTCTTTTGTGCTATTAAAAAGTTTCTCTGATCAACAGTTCACGAAAAAATCGAGTTTAAATGCTAAACTTTGATCGAATTTTGTGCGGTTATGAGTGACAATTTTTTTATGAAACTCATATTACTGATGAAGCTTTTGACCGTCAATCAGAGAATTTACTTATTTGAGAAACAAAACTCTCCGTTCTCTGTAAAAACGATAAGTTCGATTTTTATTTAAAACGACTTATTTCAAGGACCATCTGAGTTAGCAAGCTGAGACTTATTCTCTGTTCAGTAAAGTTGTTAAGTCACGACTTGCACTAAATACTTTTTTGAATTTTTGCTCGGGTCTCTTGATTTTGGCCATTGGCCTAAAAAACTTTGAGCCTCAATATTTCGAGAATGACAAAACCTACAATCATCAAGCTTTGACAGATTTTTAGATTCTATTATGGACTATAATATGGCGAAATTTTAAATTATTCAAGATCCTTAAAAAAAGTTAGAACATTGCATTACTCTTGTTACCAGATTTCAAACTTTGATTTATAAAATTGAAACACAAATATTATGGGTAAGAAGGATCATTAAACGAGTTATCTTAGGTTTAATTCGACATTTGGTCATATTGTATTCTAGCACACGCTGAAATCTAATGTTTGATCAAAGTTTGATGATTGTAGATCATGCCATTCTCAAAATATCGAGGCTCAAAGTTTTTTAGTCCAATGGCCAAAATCTGAAGAACGATTGCTAAACTTAAAAAATCATTTAGCCCATGATGTAAACAAATAATTTTTATGGACGTTTAAGAAGTTTCAGCTTGCTAAATCTTATGGTCTCCGGAATATTTCAGTTTAAATCAAAATCGAACTTATTGGTTTCACACAAAACGCAAAGTTTTATTCCCCGAAAAAAGTAAACCTTCTGATTGACAATCAAAAGCTTCACCAGCAATATGAGTTTTATGAAAGAGTCTGCTCTCATAACCATACAAAAGACGATCAAAGTTCAAACTTTTACGGCGATTTTTTCGAAAACTATCGATCTGAGAAACTTTTTATTCGTACAGATGGATTCATGTTAAGTGTCTCTACAAACGCACCAAGTCTAAACTCTTAGCTCAAATGTTGGAGCCTTTGGCAGTGATCTTTGCATTGCATTTGCAATTCTAACCAGAAAATTGCTTCATTTATCTGGATTTGGGTTGAGATGAGTTTGTTTTGTTAAATAAGCTGTTGCTCGCTCATTAACAACCCAAAACTCAAGACCCAAATGTACTGATGGCGAGTTTGCAGATTGAACTGTAGTATTTATTAGTATAAGATTAAATTGTTGTAAGAATGATGCCTGTAGGTGCCACTATTCTCGAAATATCGAAGCTCAAAGTTCTAAGACCAATGGCCAAAATCAAGAGAACTGTCTATAAGTTGAAAAAAGTACTCGGTCCATGGATTGAGCTAACAATTTTTATGGCGGGAAAGAAGTTTCAGCTCTTTAACTCTGATGGCCCCCGAAATAAGTCGGTTAAATAAAAATCGAACTTATCGTTTTTAAAGAAAACGTAAACTTTTGTTTCTAAAAATAAGTTTATTTTCTGATTGAATATCAAAAGCTTTATCAGGTGAATAAGTTTAATAAGAAAATCTGCATCTTTAACTGTACTAAAGGCTATTGAAGTTTCAGATTTGACTTCGTTTTTTTCGAAAACTGTTTATCAGAGAAACTTTTAAATCGCACAAACGGACTCAGTTTTGATGTCTCTACAAATCAACAGAGTTCAAATCTGAAATAAATTAATTTCTCAAAGTCTTTTTAGTAACAATTGTGAATTTCATCTTTATTAGCAAAAACAAATCTCATGTAAACACTTTGTTTCCATTTATGGTTAAAACGCTGTCCAACAAGGTTACAATACTTTATTTTATTGCAATTACAATTGTCATCCAATTAGTTGGCCTGTGTAGTTGTAGCCGTGAAAATCTGTAAACAATGAAACAGCGAAAATGATTAGGCAAAAGCCGTTGAAACTCAATGTTATTGCGATGGCAACAATTCAAGCAATTAACCCATTCATTGATCACCTGTTCAGTTGATGCTGTGGAAACTGACAAAACGTAATCAAAAAGCTTATAAAATTATATTGATCTTTTCACCATTTCAGGGAAATGTCTCCTAATTTAAATTCTGGTTTTCACCAAATTCTTATTCTCAAGATTCTCATTCTTAAGCAAAATTTTCATGTCGATCTCGATCTGATCTCATCATTTTAAAGAAAAGCTCATGTTTCAATCGATCTGAAAATTTCCTTGTAAAGTCTAAGAAAACTTTGATTGAAAGAAAACACAATTTGAACAATTTAGCCTTAATTTTGATTCTTAACGAGTCGACATTTTCCAGAAGAAAGCATTTTTCAAAGCTAAACTTTTCTCGATCATTTTAGGCGTTTGTTTGAATTGTCATTGAATTTTGGAAGGAAAATGATCTTACTTTGGTAAATTTGGCGATTTCTTGGCTGATTGTTGTCGGATCCAAATCAATTGTTGGTTCCAAGCAATTTTCATTCTCGTCAATCTAAAGAGAAAATTAGATTTAATTCTTCAATGTAATTTATTGATTGGAACTGTTTCATTACCTGAACAATCGCAAATTTTGTGGGCCTTCTTTTTTCACGTAAATGTCGATTCTCAATGTAAGATGATTTTTTGTACTTTGACTTTCGGGTGAAGCTTTTTACATCAGATGAAGTTTCCTGAAAAATTTGGATAAAGGTTCATTAAAACGTCCATTTAGAGTGTAAATTGTCAACTATCTTGATCAACTGAATAAACATTTTTCACAAAAAGTTGAAAGAAAAAGCTATTTGTTGGTTTAAAACAATTAACACAAACCTTATTCAAAACCTTATTGGTTTCATTTACATCGATGGTGATGGAATTGAATTTATCCTCATCTTTGCTTTTATCCTGTGATTCCATTACAATTGAATGGACACTTTTGAACACATTAAATACCCAAAAAGACTGTAAACCGGTGAAAATGTTTTTGGTTAAACCCGAGACAAACAAAGGAATTGTAATGAAAAGGTTTTATTTTGTTAATTGAAAAGCCAGTGTTGAGTTGTTGTTTGAACAGTTTCATGAATTTCCAGATTGTTTGCTGATTCATGTATCTGGCAATGGATCAACTGTTGAAGGTTCAACTCACTCCAAGAGTTAATCAAGGTTAATTAATTAGCTTTGTAATTAAAACTCCTTTTTTCCCTTCCATCTTTTGCTCGTCAACAAACACACATTTAACTCAACATAATAACCGTTCAATCTCATTGTGTTGTCTTAGGGATTGTTTAGTTACTGGTATAACTGATTCACTTAACAATACTTGTAATACAATTACTTATTTATTGATTTTGTTTTATTGCGTTGTAATTCAAATGATTGTACAAAATGATTACAATCACTTTAATTTCATTTTCTTGTCTCTAAATTGTCTCTTCATCAATGATTAAACTCATTAGCCCATAAAAATAACATTTACTTCTGATGCGCTTTTAATGAAACCAGATTCTGGTTACGATTGATTGTTACAAAATTGTACAGGGTGTTAGAAAATCAACTAGACCTATTTGCGCTTCAATATTTTTCGAACCAAGCAGAGTAAACAGACTCGTGATATATTGTTAGAATCGTCTTCGACTAGAAAACATATTAAAATAGAAAAAAGAACTTTCGCATAATTTAAGCTCTCAAAAATGGACGAAAACTAAATTTTTTTCTGTTTTGGATTTTCGAAGTTTTCATTGATTTCGGACTCGAATTTTTCTTACTTTTTAAGGTCAAAAGAATCTTAGATACATGTCAAAAAATATGCTGCAACTTTTTATTTCAATTAATTATCTAGCAAAAATTTTCTCTATTATTGAATTTTCATCCCATAGTAAAATTAACACAAAATTGCTTCAAATTTCACCTAAAATTTTCACAATTTTTTGCATCGTATGGAATCGGTAGTTCGGCCTAGAATTTTTCCTTTTGAAAATGAACAAATATTTTTAAGTTGGACTTTCAGCTTTCTAATGATACTAAAAATAAAAAAAATGGCCCAGCTATTTCGAAGTTATTATCATTCAAACAGGTCTAGTTGATTTTCTAACACCCCGTATTATAGCATTTCAAAATTGGATAGAAATGGCTTATCATTAGAAACATTGATTTGATCAAACATTTTAAATTGTAGTTGAGGTTAATCGAGATCGGATCAAGACTCAAGACTAAGGATTGAAAAATTGAAATCAAGACAATCAAAGAGAGGAAAAATTTCTCAGATTTCTTAACATCAACAACCGAGTCTATTGATTTATTGAATTGTTGCTTTTTAATATGATTTTAGCACATTTCAATATTCGCTTTTTGCTTGTTTATAACGGAAAAATAAATTAGGAGATTAAGCTTTTTGTTTTAATCATTTAATGGATATTAATATGTTAATTAAAAGATAATGAAATACAAAAATTGTGTTATAAATTGAATTGAAATCAAAAATCCTTATGCAGGATATGAGTCGCCATCTAGGTGTTTATATATTGAGGAGAGAGGAAAGCAGGGAAAAAAGCTATAAATTTCAAGCACAATTTTCAGTTCTTTCATATCCATCGGAAGTTGACTCTCTGTTTCCTTTATCATTGTGTTACCTATTCTTTGTGATAAACGTTTAACAAATGTATCAACTTTTAATTGTCTCTAAATGTGTTAACTCTTAACTCTTAATGATTAGTTATTTGTCCTTTCTTGTAACTATTGATCATCAACTATGATTCCTGAATTTTCTGTACCGATAACAGTGTCCATCTACTTGTGTCTTCCAATAAGATATTACCGTGTTGCCCATTTGACAAAATGACCATTTAATTGGCTTAATTTCATTGAATTTTGATGCCTAAAATGAGTTGTTTGAATCGTAAAAGGATATTTTACTTTTAGATTTATCCTGAAGAAAAACGTGTTTCTACTTTGTAGATTTGTTGTACACCAGATGGCGGTATAAGCGATTTTTTGCTTAATTGTTGAACAGGATGTTGCCTTTCATAGGAAGTTGTCCGCCATTTTGAGAATTGTGCGATTCATTTGTTAGCAATGAACAAGGAGTAAATTAATCTGTTTTATTTATTTCAATCTAAATCATCTTTTTTTCTTCCAATTGATATATTTTATAAGTTGAAAATTATCTTCTGACTAAATTGAGCTGCGAAAAATGATACCAGCTAATCATTCGCTGATCAACAAAGATGCCAATAAGTATGATGAAACAACTATTTTAGAGTACCTTGAGAAAGAATATCAAAGGCGCCGAGAAATGTACGTTGACCACGTTTTAGAGCTGTTCTATCTCGAACAACAGGGACCTTTTATGGACTACTATAGCTGGCGTAAGAGACCGCCGACAGTTGCTCTTTTACAACATTTTAGAGACAATGTAGCTGATTCGGATCAAGATTTTGAGCAACTTCAACTTATCAAAACCTCGCTGGATTCTGTAAGCTGTGGCACAAATAAACCTACTCCTATCATAAGTTTAGCCGAATTAGCAGCAGTTGCATCACATGTTTCACCTTTTGCAACGCTACCTGTCTCATCTGCTTCATTTTCATCATCTAGCTCTGCCATCACTAGTCGTTCATCAACAGCGCCATTAAGTTCAACATTTTCAACATTAAAACCATCATCAACTGTATCAAGCCCTTCATCTACATCTTCGTTGGTGGTGACAACTGGTTCTTCAGTGCCAACACCGCCAGCAACTTTAACTCCCTCAACTCCAATACCCTCCTCACCTTTGTCTTGCGCACCTACTTCACCTGCTGTCGCATCAGTACCAGTAACTTCTAATTCCTTAATATCTACAAGTGAGTCCCTCCCTGCCTCATCCTTACCTGTTACCTCATTGAATCTGCCGACAACCTCTTTATCCATTACTATCACATCAACTACACCATCATTGGCGGTCAAAACTTCAACTATTCCTTCACGTACAACTTCAAGCTCATCTCTTTCAACGTCTAACTTAACTATAAGCACTCGTAAACAATCCAATAAGCAGCATTCCATAGCATCAGTGTTCGATAACCTTATTGGCATATCTGAAGATGGTGCCGTTAGAGCTAAACAAGAAGCCATTATTATGAGTAGGATAGCTGAATTAAGGAAAGAAGGTCTTTGGTCAGCAAAGAGATTACCTAAAGTACAAGAACCTCCTAGATCTAAAGCCCATTGGGACTATCTATTAGAAGAAATGGTTTGGTTAGCCACTGATTTCGCTCAAGAGAGGAAATGGAAAAAGACCGCCGCCAAAAAGTGTGCTCGGATGGTTATGAAGTATCATCAAGACAAATGTATGCAGGCTGAAAAGGCGGAAAGAGAAGAAGTAATGAGGTTAAGGAGAATAGCTACCGCTATTTCAAGGGAGATTAGGAATTTCTGGTCAAATGTTGAAAAGCTTGTTGAATATCGTCAACAAACTAGGCTTGAAGAAAAGCGAAAGAAAGCTTTAGATTTACATTTAAATTTTATTGTTGATCAAACCGAGAAATTTTCATCTTGGCTTGCTGCTGGTTTATCCAAACCAGCCATTAGTACGACTGTATCAGTCCAAGAAGGAAGTGATAATTGCTCCACAGTTGAGATGAATGTTGACTCCAAGCAGACCAGTGTTGCTGGTGATATCGATTTTGAACCACAACAACTGGATGCATCCGATGACGAAGAAACAATCGCTAAGGATGAAGAATTATATGGGACAGAAGGCAATAAGAAAGAACTCGATTTGCTCAAGAAAGAAAGTAATATGCCACTTGTCGAAGTCTTGGGTAACCAATCCGAAGTTAAGGACTCTCAATCAACTGTGAAAACTGTCAACGATATTGATGGCCAGGCTAGTCGAGATGATGAAGATTATAAGATAGAATCAGCTGAAGAGGAAGATGACGAAGAAACAATCGCCGAGCAAGAGAAACAAGAAAAGAATATCGATTACTCTTCCGAAATCAAAGAATTAGAAGATGAAGCAAATATGTCTGTTGACGATTTGCGTGAAAAGTATAAAGCCGCTTTAGAAAGTTCTGTCATGTCGGACGGAGAAGAGGGCTACGAAAGCACTGGGGAAAGTGATGATGAAGCTGACTCCAATGATGATACGGAAAATGAAGACGCTATCTTGACAAATGAAGAGTCAGACTCAGAAGAGCTTGGAATGGAATCCTTATTAGACGGTGATTCGGAAAGTAATGAAAAACCTCTCGTTAAGGTAAGTTTATATTTAAATTGTGTTTTATTATAATCCTACCATTCCTATTCACTCGAAAATTTATTTGATTTTTGAGATTATTCCGAATGGTGAGATAAATTTACTTACTACGTCATTTCTCCTTTTATTTGTAAGGAGTAATGAAACCAAAATTAGTTGTACAAGGTCGTTCATTGTCTCTTTCTCCTTCATACAGATTGTTTCAGACGGCAAAGAAGAAGAGGCTGGTCCCAATAAAGCTATTAATGATATAGCTGCTGGAGCTGAAAGTATCAAACCCAAAGGATTTACCTTATCAACAGCGAATGTTGTCACCAAAGTACCTTTTCTTCTCAAACATACACTCAGAGAATATCAGCATATTGGTCTAGATTGGTTGGTTGCTATGTGTGAAAAAAAGTTAAACGGAATCTTAGCCGATGAAATGGGCCTTGGTAAAACTATCCAAACAATCTCATTATTAGCTCATTTAGCTGTTGAAAAAGGTATTTGGGGACCTCATCTGATTGTTGTGCCAACTAGTGTTATGCTCAATTGGGAAATGGAATTCAAGAAATGGTGTCCCGCTTTCAAAATACTTACATATTATGGTAATCCAAAGGAAAGAAAAGCAAAGCGACAGGTAATTTGAGATTTTTAGTTTAAATCACCGCTTTTTAGACCTATGTTTAAATTTTCTTATTTGACATCAGTCTCATTCAATTTGCATTCGAGGCTTAGAGTCACTTCTTTGAATGAATTATTTTAGAGCAAGTGCTAAAGCAACTCGTAGATTAAATGCTGTTTATGCGCTAGGTTCTTATAATAAGTTTTCTGGTCACACATTCATCAACATTCTTTTTTTAATTTTCAGGGTTGGACTAAACCAAATAAATTCCATGTTTGCATAACTTCTTACAAACTTGTAATTCAAGACCATCAAGCCTTTAGGAGGAAAAAATGGAAATATCTTATTCTCGATGAAGCTCAACATATCAAAAACTTTAAATCTCTAAGATGGCAAATGCTGTTAAATTTTAATTCATCTCGTCGGCTTCTTCTTACTGGAACTCCTTTACAAAATAATCTCATGGAACTTTGGTCTCTGATGCATTTTTTGATGCCAAATGTTTTCGCTTCTCATCGAGATTTCAAAGATTGGTTTGTCAATCCTGTAACTGGTATGATTGAAGGTAGTCACGAATATAACGAAGGTTTAATCAGAAGATTGCATAAATTATTGAGGCCTTTTTTGTTACGACGTATCAAGGATGAAGTCGAAAAACAGTTACCAAAGAAGATAGAACATGTGATTACCACTCGTCTTTCCAAGAGACAAAGATATTTATATGAAGAATTTATGAGTCTAGCCAAGTAAGTTTATTCACCTTATATCAATTTTCGGTAGCAACAATCGTTTATTCTAATACTCTTATCGCGCTTTTAGCTGTCTCTAAATTCTAATAACTATAATTTTCTTAATCCAACCTTTTCACTTCAACGCTAATAAGCCATTTTAAGTATGTTTCTATTCGAGACTAGAGTCACTCTCTTAGACAATTTGTTCTAAGAAGAGTGCTAAAGAATCTCGTAGATTAAATGCCAGTTTATGCGCTGAACTTCTTATCTATAAGAGTATTGGTCACAGATGATGCTACAAATTTTTAAATAAATTCGAATTTTACTAATTCTACTTTCAATTTCTCCCACAGAACCAAAGAAACTCTTGCCTCTGGCAATTTTCTTAGTGTGATAAATGTTCTGATGCAACTGAGAAAAGTATGCAATCATCCTAATTTGTTTGAACCGCGGCCAATTACCTCTCCTTTCTCTATGGAAGGATTAACTTACAATACTGCTTCTGCAGTCACAACACCTTTAGATTATAATCCATTAGAAAATATTAATTTAGACTCACTAAATTTACGGTTTGTGAATTATTCCGTCCCCCCGTCATCTCTTAGTGCAATAGCACAGCATAGGATCAGTGAATATCAAGCATCTCCTAAACTAATAGAAGAAATCGACTCATCTCCAGAGCCACCTCCTAGGATTCCTAAAGCAAAGCTACAACTTCGTATCAACATAAAAACATCTGCATCTTCCATCACATCTCAATCACCGCAACTACAGAAAGGTTTTCAGCTACAACCAAGGACGTTGCCTTCTGTTCAAATTAAATCTTTTAATAATATTCCTTTGATAGTAGGATCTGGTCAAACCCAGACTGCTAATTCAAACTCAATTCAAGGACCTAGATTATTTTTATTATCTGCTCCAAACAACTCAGCGTTTACTCCTCTCAGAACTAGTACAACAATAGGTAGCTCAGGTGTAATTGTGACGGACAACAGTTCACAATTAAGCATGAGTGGAACCACTCCTGGTAGCATTGTAAAAAAGTTAACATTAACCAAATCTCTTCCTGCTGGTGTTCAATCGAGTGTTTTAGGTAACCAACGGGTTAAAATACCGATTGGAAAGTTGTTACAAACATCCACTGGCCAACATATTCTAGTTAATCCTGTTCAATCCTCATTGGTAAATCCATCTTCACCCATTGTTATTCCTGGTAATGTAAATATTGCACAAAACTCATCCCCAATGAGAAATCTCATTGAAAAGCCATCAAATAGTAAGTTTTTTCGTATTTCTATGTAATTATAGTATCTTTACTGAATCTTTAGCTCTCCTTTCGTAAAGACAATCAGATTTAATTATCATACTTTTGTAGTCAAAAGTTTCATATTTCATATTTATGTTAGAGAGCACTCTATTGATTCTTTCTCGATGTGAATGGATACATTAAGTGTTACTCTTAGATTAATCTGATTTACAATCCACTTAGGTGTACCAATTATTACACACTAGGTCAGCAAACTATTATACATTGTATTTATCTTTTCTTTCTAGGTGATAATTCAAGTGAGAAAACTGATTCATCTCCAGAAAGTCAAACAAAGATCGTTAGTGACAGAAGACTTGCTGAAAGAAGAGAAAAACTTAAAAGAATTGCAAGGATTAATCATCGTCGTTGCTCAGCTACAGCTCTTTATGCTCCTGATCTTATTCAAATGTCTACAATCACAAACCATCCAAGTCAAATTTGTACACAGCCAAGAGTAGGAAGTTCTGTTTTCAGTACTGGACAAGGTTATTTCCATTGTATGCACAATCAAAAACGTGATCATCGCCCTAGAGATTTTTTCTATTACACTGATTTTTTAACAAACAATTTGAAGACTCCTGAAGACCTCACTTCTGATCTCAAAGATATCCTCAAAAGATATGTTTTCCTCGTGCCGAGAGTTTCTGCACCTCAGATTCAAATGCACGTTTCTCATACAAAACCTTGGAAAATTCAGGCTGAATTAAATATGATTGAAGATCTGCGTAAAGAACTTACTCCTAGATGCAATTTCCTGCATCCAATAATCTCAAATTTCAGAACACAGTTTCCTGAATTGAGGCTGATTCAATATGATTGTGGTAAGCTTCAAAAACTAGACGAACTACTGTTCGAATTGAAAAAAGGAGGCCATCGGGCTTTAATTTTCACTCAGATGTCTCGAATGTTGGACATTTTCGAGCAATTTCTCAATTATCATGGGCACACCTACCTTAGATTGGATGGTTCGACAAAGATTGAACAGAGACAAGCCTTAATGGAAAGGTTCAATGCCGATAAAAGAATATTTTGCTTCATCCTCTCTACTCGTTCGGGTGGAGTTGGTGTCAACTTGACTGGAGCTGATACTGTGATATTTTATGATAGCGATTGGAATCCAACCATGGATGCACAAGCTCAAGACAGATGTCATCGCATCGGTCAAACTAGAGATGTCCATATTTACAGGTTTGTTAAATCATTCAACTTTCATTTATCAGAAAAATCAAACTAAATACTTTATTTGCATTTCATTTAAAATAGGTTAATTAGTGAGAGTACTGTGGAAGAAAATATTTTGAAAAAAGCCAAACAAAAGCGCCTCCTTGGAGATGTTGCTATTGAAGGTGGTAACTTTACCACAGCCTTTTTCAAGAAAGATAGCATCAGTGATCTTTTTGGTGTCGATGTAACGGAAGCACAATCTGAAAACAAGTCATCTTTGCCGTCAAGTGCAGTGGAAGAAAGGAAAACTCCTATTCCAGAGGAGAATAATCAAGTGATTGCTCAATTAGAACAGGCTTTAGGAACTGCTGAAGAAGCTTCTGATGTTGCGGCAGCTCGAACAGCTAGAGCTGAAGCTGCAGCAGAATACGCAGAGTTTGATGAATCTATCCCTCTCGATGTGGAACAAGAGAAGAATGATGAAAAATCTCCTGCAGAAGAAGAATTTGAAAGGCTCATTGAACAGGTATTTTATCATACGCACTTTTAATTTAGTTTTTCATAAACAATGAATCATGCTAACAATTCTTTAAATTTTCAGTTGACTCCTATTGAGCGTTATGCAATGCAATTTTTGGAATCGATTCAAGAGCCTATCACTACAGAGCAGCTTAAACAAGCTGAGGTAAGATTTATCGCGTTTGTCAGATTTTCGTTTTGGAACACTAATCATCAAAACTCTATCATTTGTTTTTAGGAGGAAATTGAAGCTCATAAAAAAGAATGGGAACTTGGACATCTTAAATCTTTAAAAGAAGAAGAAGAAAGAGCTACCAATGGAAGTGATAGTGACCAAGATGATATCTTAGCCATGTCGAGAGAAGAAGCTTGTCAGGTTAATAATCGTAGTAAAATAAGCCGATCCTCCTCTAAATCCAGCAAGACTGCTCAAACCGGCGGGGCGAGTACACCTAAAACAACCCCTGGCGTCACAACTCGTAAATCTAAAAGCAATCTAAATTCTGAGAGTGCAAATAAGCAAAAACCTATTTTGAATGAGACTCCAAAAATGTCTACGAGACCTAGAAATCGCACCCGTCGGTTTACAAACAGCCCTACTGTGTCTCCTCCAAACAATGTTGCTCAGAAGAGCGTGCAAACTCCTCGTAAATCTCGACCTTCGAAATCTCCTCGATCAGCTTCCTTATCTTCATCAGCTTCTCCAGTGACTAATTCTAATCGTTCTAGCGTAAATCATAAAAGTGATACTACCCCTATTATTGAGACTGGATGTCGTACTAGACGTTCATCTAGTATTCTTAACAAAACTAAAACCAATTCTAACGATTCTTTTAGCAGTCCTATCTCTTCAACTATCAAGGGTAAACCGTATGCAACCCGTAGATCGAATGAGAGGTAGATTTTTTTTAATTTTTAGGATATTTAAATTACTCTTTGTTCTCTTGAAATTGATTTACTGTGATAAATTGTCCTTGCTTTTTTTCAATTTACTTGTTGATCCACTCATTGCCAGTAATAACTGTTGAATGATCTCTTTCTTTGTATGGACAACGCTTAGAATATTATGACAACCTCTAATCGCATAACCCATTATCCTTAGATTTGTATATTTCATTGAGGTTTATGACTAGACACACAGCATACCTAAATTGTTATAATTGATTATTATTTGTTTAGATTATTTTGTATAGTTTTTTTCCACACTTTCACGCTAAAATTATAGTATTAAAATAACAAGGCCTTCATCAAAATGTTTTTGAGAGTTTGTTTCTGAATTAGTTTTGTTGTTGAATTTAAATCGAGCTTAAATTTTTCAATTATTGGAGTGATCGAACAAAAGTCACGGAGATTAGAATTCTATCGATTCTAAAGCAAAATGATGGAGTAAAAGAGTCAGATGCGATGGAGAAACACGCAAAATAATTTCTGTTTTAAGTCTCATTTCTTTTGGTATTGTCATCAGCAAGAACCTCTCTGTTTTTGTGCATTAATTTTTGATCTGTACCTCAAGTTGATAATTAGCTTGAGCTTATAAACACAACTGGCATATTGTGCTTGTTGATGATTACGGCTAATAGTGATGGCTTATCACTACTGACTTTTTGCCATTTGTTCGATCAAACATTAACTGATGAGAAAACGAGGGCAGACCTTTGTGTCATCTTATTTTTGTTAACTTTTAAACAAAGTTCTTGAATATTCAATTGTCTAAGTTCAAAATGCAAAGGAGCCCAAACTAGTTGCTGAGAAGCTCAGATCAAAAGGCCAGGAATGAAAAGCTAATTAAGGTACTTTTATAATTAACAACAGCACTTGGTTTGTCTGATCCCTTTTGCACCATTTTGAAACTCATTTCTTTTGGTTAATATTTCTTTCGTTTCTTTCTTTCAGACTAATAATAATTAATAACACATAAATATTATGTAAAATGTCAAATTAAATCAAGTGATTGATAGCCTTTTGCTTATCTGAATAGCTCAGCATTAGCAAATTAGATAATTTTCGATATCTCAATTATGTTTTATCATTCATTCTAATTGGGATTTTTAGGGATTATAATTAATTAGAATAGAGCCATCCTATTAGAACTCGCTGTAAATTATCTGCAATTACAAATCAGAGGAAATGTTCTTGTTAAGCAAATACCAAAGGAAATGGGATGCATTTGGGATGACCAACCCTGTTCCATACCAAGTTGAGGTATTAACTAATAGTTGTCTTTTTTATTCTTTATCAAATAGGTTTACATTTCTTGTAATAATAATCGGATGGAACAAATGCCTATTTGGACTCCACCAACACCTCCTCAAGATTCAAATGATTTATATATCGATTACTCTCTGGCTTTCACTTACGAAACTTCTGTTATGCCTGAATCTCAAATCCCCCCTGTTTACGTTGCCAAAGAAAACAAACGTTTGAAACTAGATCACATGGCTCTTTCCCGTAACAAGCAGCACAAACTTAGGAAAGAAGAGATTATCAATATTCCTCGTTCATTGTTTGATAATCCTTCTCCAGCTCTGCTGAAACTCCGCCGAGAGCTCAGAATTCAAAAACTTAAAGGCTTATACACTGGAGGTCCCGATGTTCATCGTCTTCAAAAGACACTTATATCTATTGGGGCCAACGGCAATCTACCTCAACCGCCTACCTTGGCTCAGCAAGCAGCTAATAGTAAACAACCTCAAGTTTATCTGCAAGGTCTTCAATATGAAAGTCAAATTCATTGGAATATTAATGAGGACTGGGCTATTTTACGTGTCATCCAACTTTATCAAGAATTATGCCTCAATCTTTTGATTCTTACTCCAGGTCATATTCCCAATTGGGATTTGGTTTCTGATTCTGTCAACTCTGAAGCTTTCAACTTTAGATCCCCTAAACTTTGTCGGCATCACTATGAGAGTGTTGTACTGCAACGTGAAGAGGGTAAACTACTGCATGATCCATCCCCTAAGAAAAGTAAAAAGTTGCAGAAAGCTGCTGCGGTGGCTGCTGCTGCGGCACTCACTGCTACTCAAAATACAACTGGTTCCCCTGTTCCTGGAGGCGCTCCAGGACAAGCAGGTTCTGCTGCACCCAAACCTAGTCAAGGCAGGCCAATGCGAACAAGTCATATTTTCCTGCAAGATGGAAATCATTCATTCACCCAACTTTGCAATTCCAGATTTGAAACAATTAAACAAATAGCCAATAAGAAGCAACCAACAGCGAAATTATTTTTAAATGCAACTAGTAAAAATCCTAAACATATTGCGATGCTTGGTGAATATGGTATTAGCTACGACCAACCAATGACCCCTATGCAAATAGCTCAAAATAGACTGGAAAGGTTAGCTAAGGAGAAAGCTAAAAGTCAACAACAGCAAATCGCTGAGCAACAGTTGTTCTCGTAAGTTTGATTTCATTTGATATTTCAATTTATAACTCACAACAATCATCTAATATCTATTGTTTTTCCTTAATTTGTAGAGAGGCCCAGAAGCAAATTGCCCGTGCAAAGCAGGCTCAGCAACAGCAACAGCAACAACAACAACAACAGCAGCAGCAGCAACAGTCACAGCCCCAACAACCTCAACAGCCCCAACAACCCCAACAGCAGCAGCCACAGCAACAGCAAACAGCACAGCTTCAGAGACAAGTTTCGGTTAATCAAAATACTCAACAAGGAAGTATTGTCCCTCAAAGATTCTCCATCGCTCAAACTCCAACTCAACTTTTTGCGTAAGTTTTGTCAATTGATTTGTTTCACCAGCATTGTCTGGCTGTTCAAGCTTTATAATAATCTTAAACTCTTTTCTTTTGCAGTAAAAAATCCCTAGGCCAACCAGTTCATCTGCAGCAACCAACACCTCAAGCTTCCACTTCACAAGCACAGACTCAGTCACAGACACCTCAGAATCCTCAACAATCGACTCAACCATTACCTCGACCCCAGCTATCTCAAGGCCAAATAATTCAGTTGATTCTCTTGAAATCTTTCAATAATCAAGGTCATTAACTGTATTTATTGCATCCATAATCTATCATCAACCTCAATTGTCAATTGAATCCTGTCAATTTTGAATTGGCAACAAAAATCCATCCCTAAAAGACAATCAAAAAATGTAATGTTTTTCATTAATAAACCATGAACTTTCAGCGGTTTATAAACAATCATTTTGATTACAAATTATTTTACCACTGATGTCAACATTTTTAATAAATCACATTTCCACAGATAACAATCCTATAGGAAATACACAACATCATGAGATTGTTTGTCGCGTATCTCTTGAGATGTTAGAGAACAAAAAAATCAGTCAAATTGATCCTGTTTATGGTTAAATGACTTTCATTGACTTTAAATAAACTGTTAACCATTTAACTATCATCAACAACAACAACCATAATAATAGCAATAACATCATCGCCACCGCCAGCAACAACAACAACAACAACATGATAACCAACATTTTTTGCTGCCCGAAAACAATAACAACTTTCACTGCTTAAGCTTGACTGATGGTTAAAGTTGTTTTGAATTGTTACTGTTGATTTATCTTAACATTGATTGCGCTTTTTTATCACTTGTTGCTCACGTATCCACATTATTTGTAAACAATTTTTTTACCTGTTTGCTCACTATTTCAAGGTTATTTCAGGGAAAGTAAACCTACTGTGGAAAGTTTACTTCATCATTACCAAATAACCAGTTCCAAGTTGATCACATTATACCTTAAAAAAGGGATACACAACAACAACAACAACTGGTTCATCAAGAAGCTACCTTTTCGTTTTGCTACATTCACCTCACCTTGTCTTACAACTTTCTGACATGATAATTTGTTTTTCTCACTTCATCTTGTTTTTCTTCCTCTTCTCCATATCTTTTTTTTCCCATTATTTTTCTTCCTCTGTTTGCTTGAATACTTCGCGTCAAATGTAATACTTTTAACTCAATAGCATGTCAACAATCAGGTGATGCAAGGTAAATTTGAAATATGCTTTTCCCATGTGACATGTTCATTGAATGTTCAATTACCAAGATATCCTTCTTGACGTTAACCTTAGCAATGAACAAAATCCTTTAATACTGATTGCCTTGCTGATGGATAACAGTTTTTTTTTGCTTGCCCAACAATTATTGTTTTTAAACACTAATCAACCTTAATCAATGGGCTTCTAGGTAAAATAATCTGTTAATTGTTGGATTAATGATATAACCATGAATTTAGATTGAATCTTTCAATGAATCAACCTTGACTACACTTTAGTTAAATTTTTATCAAAATTTTCATTGAAACATGAAAATGGTAAAAACTGTTACCTTTTGATTGTTGTTGCTTGTAAAAATGATTTCATTAATTGCTTCTTTTTATACTTCAATTTCAATTGTTTCATCATTTTATTCAGTGAATTATTTACTTTTTTTACTCACTTTTATCATTCTTTTCAATTGATCACATTCATTTAGTTGTAACTGTTGAAATGATTATATCCAAGTGAATAAAATATATCAATGAAGGTTAACAGCCTAGTAACTATTTTGACTGCAGTTATTAATAATGATGGTTAACTATTTAATTGAAGGATAAATCAATGTCACCATGTTGAATCAATAAGACGAATCACAATCAACTTTAATTGTCCATTATAATCAAGTTTAATCAGCTGTGTCATGATAACAACCTTTTGATACAACAATTGTCATTCTACTATTAACAGTTGTAATTGGTTACGATGACAATCCTGGATATAAGGGTGATGATCGTTGTTATAATGATCTTGTTATGAGTTATTATTTCATGGTTTATTCAAGGGTAAACCTCGGGAAAAGTCAATGAATCAACCTTCACCTGTTTGAACTTGAACATTTGAGGAATTAATTTGAAGATTTCATAAACAGAGTTTAATATAAAAAGCGGACCACCGATCACGGCTGATCGCAAATCTGTTTCCACTGAATACAATAAATTCAATTTACATTTAAAGAAACAATTCTCGGTGAAAACATCGTCAATGAGAAGGATAAAAAATAAAATAAAATCTGATTCTACCACTGAGCAAAATGAGTTTGAACTTTGAAAGTGATTTCATGAAAAACCTTAGAGAAATTTTTAATTACACGAATGGCTCCAGTTCTTATGTCCCTAAAAATTCATCAGGTCACAACTCTTAACTCGAAAGTCAAAGTTTGAGTCAAAGTCAAACTTATAAATCATTCAACAATAAACTATAAATGCTATAAAACTAAAAAATAATTTCTTCCCTCTGCAATGCTTTTGAAAATGGATTGTTTTGCCACCACCCTGAACATGATTTTTGCAGGAATCTGAGTTGCTAGAGATCTCAAGTATTTTTTGTTGCTATAGACAAATGATGGTCATTATTTGGTTGAAGAGTTTCTTTAAGAACCCTTTTCTTTGCGATCATTTTGACGCTAAAATGACTGATAATGACTTTAGTTTTTTCACTGAAAAGTTTGTGAGTAGTGTTTATCGATTTCTGTAAAAATAATCAATCAACAATTTTGATTTGTTTTAAAGAAAATCGATTTAATCATTTATTAAAGTATCGTTAAAAAATCAGAAAAATCTGAAAAATCGTAAAAATAGTAAAAATTGAGGAATTTTAATGGGTCTCAAAAAGTAAAATCATGAACATTGACCAAATTCATCATATTAAAAATACTGCCATCATAATATTAATGTTGACTAGTTAAAAATAAATAGTAGAATCATTCAACAGTTAAAGAAGATACACAAAACAAGAAAGCAGAAATTCTTCATTGACCAAAATCGAACAGAAATTTCAAAAGGAAAGAAATAACGTAAAAATGACAGGAGAATCAAAAATTCGTTTCGATTCAATTGAGAGAAACATCGAAAAAATCGTTTAAAAATATCGATTCGAATCGTCGATTTGATTTAATCGCAGAAACACTAGTTACAATCAATCAACATCGAAAAGCCACAAATTAATACAAGTGGCAAAAACCATCATGAGAATAAGAAATCCAAAAGGTGAAATCTTAAGCTTTTGTAACATTTGTAATTCATTTTGGAATGAGGAGAGCACACTTGTAAAATTTTCCTTCGAGTTGAGAGTTGAACCTTTTTTGGTTGTAAAGGTATAAAAATGATTCCATTTGTCTAATCAAAGTTTCTCTGATGGACAATCATTGAAACTTTGATCTCTTTTGCACAGTGGAAGCACCAGAGTTTTCCCTAAACTCGTTATTCGAAAGACGGTTTTACAAATCCTCCTAATCCAATAATATACCATCAACCTGAATGCAAAAAAAGTTTCCTCCCAAAGTCAATAGTAGTGCATTCGCTTCCACCCTGTTTAAAAGCTAATTTCTCAGTAACCTGAATTTCGGGAATGCTCTGACTATCTTTCGTGGATGTAGTTTAATCATAGCTTTCATGCTAATTTTCTTTAGAACCCGTTTAGTTTGGCCACACTTTCATGTTTTGACTTTATTTTGAGTAGAAGATAATTGGTAAAAGTCTTTGTACCAATAAACCTGTTGGTATAAACCTTTATGCATAAGGAGTATGATACAGAGTCTAACTTTCCTGTTCAGAGTTAAGACTAAGTGGCTTTGTAGGGGCATTGAAACTGAGTCCGTTTTTGGAAATTTTTTCATGATCAGTAGTTTTCGATAAAATCGAGTTCAAAGTGGAAACTTCGAACGACTTTTGTACAGTTATTGAGCCAGATTTTTCATCAAATAACCATTTACCTTCATAAATAAAAAACATTCCCTTGGCAACAAATCGAATGCTAAGCTAAAACTCTTTTGCATCATTTTGAATCACTTCATATTTTAGAACGAGTTTGAAATCTTACTTCACAACTGTACAACAGGCGTTCGAAGTTTCAACTTTGAACTCTATTTTATCGAAAGTTATTGATCACAAAAAAATTTCACGAACGGACTCAGTTTTAATGCTCCTACAAACCTACAAAGTCTCATCTCTAACTTAAAAGTCAGCTTTTGTATCAGTACTCCTTTGTGGTAAGGATGAAATCAATGAATCCTTGAGTTAAAAATCAAGATCAATCCTGAGCATTTAATGAAGGAAAGAATGGAATCATTACTATTGATTGAACTCAAATGCTCTATTAATATTTACATGTAAATAAATTCAATTTTCAACACAAACCTTTTCTGGGTCAAAATTGTGTGCTTTAACGTTCTATTGTTGCTTAAATCATTTAGTTTGGTCAGACTATCTCCAAGTAAATTGTTCATCAGGAAACAAAATAATATTAGAAGAAGAAGAATCAATGAAGTTGATCAAAGAATAACTTTTCTAATGTGATTATCAAGATGAATTTGGTTATACAAATGAGTGTAAACACCTTTCAAAAATACTCATCAACATTAAAAGCTTTGTTCAGTCAAATTTTGTTCCCAATCAAATTTAAATGAAAAATAAATATTACAATAAGATGATTATTAGACATTTGATTGACAATGATCATAATTGCGTTGAAAATGGATCCAGGAAGAAATGGTAATTTCAATCAGGCTTAACATGGCAGACATAGATAGACAGTTGAGAGCAAGAGAAAATAATTTTTCCATGTCAAGTCGACTGTAATAACTTGATGATTCTGGTGGCGGTGATGCTGATGATGATGATAATTCAAAGGGAGATGATTAAAACCCGATTTGCTCCGATTTTATCAAAACTGGTGCAATTGTCCTTTATTTTCATGTCCTTATAACACCAATCTTTTAGGCTGCCTTTCAGCCTCTCCCTCCGAGTCTTTCTTTCTCTCTTTCTACCTTTCGTCTTCTTTTCCTTCGTCGTCACCTTTATCCTCCACCTTGATTAATCCTGAAATTTAAATCATCATGATTTTTAATTCATCTTTTGCTTCATCCGAAGCAACTTAGTTATCTTTTAAGGGTAACTGCATCCTATGGGAAGGTTTACATTATAATTTTGTGTCGGTTAAGTTTTTTTTCAATTCTTGTTTGTCTTGGTTAAGTTTGAATGATAACCATTGAACTTTATCAGATTTAGTCCAAATCATCGCCATGACGAGTAATCATGTTGCCAATTTTAAATTTAACCTGTTGACCATTACAGTTTGCCTTTTTTCACTATTTTATTCAATTCAAATTGTGCGGCTTGATAACAATAATGAAGACATTGTTGAAACGGGTAACTATGGTTTTTTTGTTCACAGCTGGTCAACCCTTTGTTAATCTCTTCTGTGTCTTAATTATTAATTAATCTATCGGTTTTATAAAGGTGCTGTTGAGGGAATCCCTTGTGTATCAAATGGTAAATTTTATCGTAATCCTGAACAGATAGGAATCCGTGATTGTGCCAGATACTATTGGTGTCCACGAGGAAAGGTTCTTGAATTTAGATGTTCATCTGGACTTTGGTTTGATATTGATAGACAAATTTGTGACTTCAAATCAAAAATCAATGCCCAAAATTGTGAAAAATCTCATGGTAAGTAAATTTTCTCATTTAAATTTCAATACTTAAGAATCAAGATATTAAAATCACTGACTAAATCAAAGGTCAAGCCAAGTCAGGTTAAGTCAGGTCCAAATCTTTAACTTACAGTTACTTCATTTCGTGTAATATCTTAAACAATCAATCACTTGATAATTAATGAAATGTTGATTCGACCAGTTTATTTATCAGCATGAAGCCTTACGAAATGATTTCAATTAACGCAAAGGTCAATTATTAAGTTCATTTGGTTTAATCTTATTCATTTGGTCAAACTAAAGCTTTTAAAAAATAAACTGCTCACACCCTTATCATGAATGTTGCAAATTCAGAGTTTAGATGTAAATCAATTTTCGTTTCTCTTTTTTACTCCAACCTTCATAGATGCATCAACTCCTCGTCCTCTTCTGGCCACAGAGAGTCCAATTTGTCCAGAAGGTCAATTAGCCTGTGCTAACCGAAAATGTCTTAACCGTGATGTCTTTTGTGATGGGACGGTTGACTGTACCGATGGTTCAGATGAGTCCTATTGTGACCCAGAAAATGATCCAAATGCTCCGGGTCGATGTGATCTCAATAACTGTACCCTACCTGATTGTTTCTGTTCCACTGATGGAACCCAAATACCCAATTATCTTAAGCCTGAGGAGACACCACAAATGGTTATAATTACTTTTGATGATGCGGTTAACAACGAGAATTGGGAAATTTATCAAGCAATCTTCACACCAAACCGAACCAATGCCAACGGCTGTCCCATCAGGTCAACCTTCTTCCTTAGCCATGAATATACCAATTATCGACATGCTCAAAAACTCTGGAATGATGGACATGAAATAGCCACTCATTCAATAACGTAAGTTTCTTTCTCAATTCAATCTTAAAACAGATTTTCATTCAAATGTAACCTGTTTTGCTTCTTAATCAACTGAGTAACATGAGTTTATCGGATGTTTCATTCCAAGTACATTGTACGCACTTTTTGTTTCAAAACTCGGTGTGATGATGAATGTAAGCAATCAATTCAATTGCACTCTATTATTGTAATTAACATTATGTAATTAGTTCTGTCTGCACTGTCAAGAAATCTTTAAGCCAAGGTTAAACCAGAGATTTAATTTAATGAGAAAAGATCTCATGAAAAACCTTGATTATGTTTTCACCTGATTTATTAATTAATTCATTTGTTTAGTCATTAGATAGTTTTACATGATTTAATCTAGGAACCCGTTTTAATGACGCTATTAGCGACCAGAAGCAAAATTTTGTCAAATTAAAAGTCAATCTGGTTTTGAATTGAATACTTTCTGCTATAAATGATTTTGAAAAAGCAATCGGCAATGAGTTTGATTCTTACAGCCATTAATTCCTGATTTTAGGGATCAATTGTTCTGGTAAATTATTCAAGTTTTTATGCTTAAAATAATTTGCTCAGGATGCACAATTTTGATCATCATTTGGTTGATTGATTGTTCTCAATATTTAAACTTGCTTTTCTCTTCCTCAATCCAGTCATCGTAATCCTGAACTTTGGTGGACATTTAATGCAACAATTGAAGACTGGTTTGATGAATTTGCTGGTATGGCCAATATAATCAATAAATTTGCTGGTATACCATTAGAAGAGATAAGAGGAACCAGAGTTCCTTTCTTGAGAATCGGTTGGAATACACAATTGATTATGATGAGAGAATTTGGTTTTCTTTATGATTCTTCAATGGTTCCTGCAAAATCAGATCCACCGATTTGGCCTTACACATTTGACTTCAGGATTCCCCATAAATGTGCCGGTTCTTTACAGAAATGTCCATCTCGATCATTCCCAGGAATGTGGGAAATGGTCATGAATCCTTTGGATATTGAGGTAACAATAAAAGCATTTATTCATTTTTTCCTTGTTCTAACACCAATGGTTCCATATTCATTTCTTTATTATCTTTAGGGTCATATTTGTGCCATGGTTGATTCCTGTCCAACTCATCTCTCCGAGGAAGAAATATTTACAATGTTCCTAGATAACTTTAATCGCCATTACTCAACTAATCGAGCACCATTTGGTCTATTCTTTCACACAACCTGGTTCAAGGATAAGAAAAATTTCAAGGTTTTCCTGCAATTCATTGATGAGTTAGTGAAAAAACCTGATGTCTATATCGTTACCAACTACCAAGCCATTGAATGGATGAGAACACCAACTCCATTAAGTCAGCTGAACAGCTTTGAACCATGGAAGTGTCAGAAAAATATTGATCCCAATTTAGTTGCCTGTAATCATCCCAAACTGTGCAAATTACACAGTAGACATTTAAGGGGAGAAAGATATTTACATACCTGTTTTGAATGTCCAGAGGTTTATCCGTGGGTTAAAAATGAGTTTGGTCTTGAATTTAAATAAACAAGCGAACCCCCGATCATGACTGATCATTTCTTTCCATAAATTTCTCGGTAACCTGAATTTCCAAAATGCTGTTACTATTTTCGTGAATATAGTTTAATCATGGCTTTCATGATACGATGAAATTTTCTTTGAACCGGTTTAGTTTGGCCACAATCTTGGTGCAAAAATTAATGTTTTTACTTTATATATTGGATAGATTATCAAATGATATAAACACTTTTCTTGTTCTATGTGTTTATTGACATTAGATGCAACTGTCAAAACCATTGACAATTGAACATTTGATCAGTAAATATGCGAGAGTTGAAAAGCATCTTAACCAGAATTAGATAAAATTACAATCAATCATAAATCAAAGTAATGATTAATTGTTAATATGGGTAATGATGAAGAGCCATATGACTCTTTATTTACAGCCTTGAATTGAAATAAATGGAAACATTAACTTCTCTCACTCTTTTTGTTATTGCTTGATTTGTCATTTAAATTATATAATTTTACTTTGATTGATTGATTTTTTTTATCAACTCTATTAATTCAATATTGATTGTGATTAAACTGTTTTTCACTCTTTTTTATACTTTCTTTTTCAATACGTGAATACTGTTAATCATTTAAATCTTGAATCACTTCAATTTGCAATCTTTGCCCGTCATTTCAAGCTATTTTGAACTCTGGTTTTTTCATGAAAACCCAATTTATTGATTAGGTTACAAACACAGTAAATTGGCTAAACATCATTGTTTAAACTCGATTGTCTATCGTTAAAAGCCACTCGATTGCTTTGCTTCTAATTGTAATTAGTTGTTTTAAATAACTGATTCATTAATGATAAATTACTAAAACTTGACTCTTGAAATTGTGTAAATTGGTAAATCAAATAAACGCATAATTAACCTGTTTTATGGCAATTCATTGAAAGATAACATAATCACTTCACAATAATAAACCTTTCAGTTAAGTATAACTTGATTATGGTGCTTAAAATGAATGGATTAACCAGAAAAGATGGAATCCCTGAATTATTAGGTTCTTTTATCTAAAGATTATTCAAATGAAAATAGGTTCACGAAAAATGATAATTTTACTGTTAAGCTTTGCCCGATTGACTATAAGCTGATTGGGTTAATTGTGCTTTTCCTGTTCTTTGTGATTTCCAAAAAATCATGTTTTCTTTTCGTCTTTTTAGATTCCAATTCTGTCCATAACTTGGTGTCTTTCAATGAGCCAAGCGAATATAATACTTTACAAATGTTTGTTGTATTGAAAACGTTTCAAATAGCAAAAACTGAACTCCAATCAAGTATGTAACTCTCAATGAAAGTCAAGAGAAGCAAAAATGATATTTTGACTGTGAAACAAAGATTTTGGTTCGAACCGGAGAAGCAAAAATTATATATTTAACCATTCAGAAAAGACATTTACCATGAAGGGAATTGCTGCAAGAAAATGGAAACAAAAAAGTTCTCATTCAAACACACTGACATTAATCATGGTTAGTGTAATTTCATTTTTAGTTTGCATCACTAACCAACACTATCTTTACAATTATAAATTCACATTCTGATCTTTCCATGATAACAAACTTTCCATTTCTATTATTTAAACTCAGCTATTGGGTTCAATATTTATGAATGAAAAGGAAATCACATTTACACATTTTCATGAAAAGAAACGAGTTGTTGGTGTTGTTGCTCTGAAATTGATTGACGATTTGTATTGAAGAGTCGATCATGTCACAAGTTTTTCTCGTTTCAGATAAAACTTGCAACTTAAGGATTAACAAATTGAAGAGGATTAATTTGCTGCAATTAATCCTGATTGTAAGCGTCTAGTTAAATATGAAAACACGTTTCCAAGGATGCAATTTAACCACTCTAATCAAGACTTGCAAGTGTCTCATCAAGTCATTCAAATGAAATTGATATCCAATCCACTTCAACTTGTAAATTGATGTAAAATGATCTGAAAATTGTCTCACATGAAAGGGAAAGATGATTATGCCATTTGTTGGTTTGAAGGGTTGTTTGTTGACTCGTTGACGGATTCCTGTTTCAATGGCTTGTCCCATGTTTTCCAGAACTACTCTTGCTTTAAATCTGGTACAATTAACAGTTGAAAACAAACAAACAAAGGCCTAGACTGATTGGGTAAACAGGAGAGTTTCAATTAACCAAATAAACAAAAAGACCAAGATTTCATGTATTTAGAAGTGTTTTGTTTCTCATTGGGTTTTGAGTGTTTCTTTACTTTTGCTATCTCTAAGCTTATAGACAGAGGCAATCGATTGAAAAATTGGAAAAAATCGTTCAAATTTTAACAACCGGCTGTCTTTTCAAATGGATAATTGTTTGATAAAATTACATATTTGTTGTAAACTACACTCATCTGGTTAAAAATTGTGTCGATTGCTTACAATTTTTAATCGATTATCTCTTGTCTTAATCAGTAAAGAAATGATCTGTTATTCACTTTCAGTTTCATGTTGTTTCCATCCGTTCAACTCAACTAAATAAATTTCAATTTAACTGTGAAAAATGTTCAATTTTAACCTTCTCATTGGAGTCCTTTTCGCCCTTGTTGCAATACAAACCTCTTTCGGGAAAAAGAGACAATGTTTAGGCCCAAATTGCGTTCAAGGTAAGACTACTTTCGCTTCACTCTAACAGGTTTTTGCTCTTACATTCATCTTATGACTTATCAAATGACTAACCAGACCATAGCTTTTTGACAACCAAAAATCATCAGTTCAATGTTTTCTGGTCAATTTTGGTGTCTTGTGACTTTGACTGTGAGTAAGCTATTGAATTGACTGGTTAAATTGAACAATTCAGATAGTTAAACATCTAAAATGCTTCTCAGTATTTCAATAATATTAATAATATAACTTGAATAATGGCTGGTTGAATGATGAGACAGTTTTCAAAGATTGTACTTTTTATTAGTAAATGGTTAATCTACCGATTTACCTTACAACTGGTTCCAATATGACATTAGATGATTATTATGATTAGCTGTTTGAATTGTCTGTAAGTTCACGTTTAAACTTTGATGGGTTAATTAAACTTGATAAATGTTCAATCAGATGTACAATACATGCTAATAGCAATAGATAACCGTGAACTTGAAAGAGAATCTTAATTCCGGAAAATTTCAACGAATCAAACACTTTATCCTCTATTTGGGTTCCAAGTTTCCATTTGACGATATCAAAGTGTTCAATGGACAAGAATGAAATGCTCAAAATGAACTGCTCAAGAACATCATTCAAAGCTTTACTCAAAACTCCTCCTTGTAACGATCGCAGGGCTCTTAATAAGAAACAAGGTGAAAAACAATTTGGTATCAATACAATAACAATTGGGTTTACTCACAAATTGGATAAGCGTCTTTTAATCTCCTCTGCATTTTCCAGTGGATTTACTATGTAAGCAAGTAAAGATTGATGATATGGACCTTTAGATTTGTATATTTTGGCAGCATAAGCGTTACCAAGTGCAGCTGGTATTATTGAACCCGATTTACCAGCTTGCTCTGAACACAGTATAGCATAATCTGGTGACAACAGTTCAAAGACATCGGTTGATGTTAACCCAAATGGTTGGTTAGAGCCTTTCCTCACTGATTGCCGATAAACATCTCGATAGTCTTTAGAAGCTTCAGTTTGAAATAATTCAAACACTGAAAGACCTTCAAAGAAAATGGGAATCTTGTTTTGCTGGACAACATCTCCAAGTATATCAATTTTACCCTGAACATCTCCAATAATAGTACTTGTACTGAAACTGGCACTGAACAGGCTCATTGAAAGAACCAGAAGTAAATTTTGAACCAAACGAATGAGATCAATCTGTCTAGGAATGTATTGGTTGAATAGTACCGCAATGTATCGAGATAATGTTTCCAGTAAAAGAGTTGCAATTCCTGTCTGTGATATTACATGGATAGCGATTTCCAGGACAAAAGTACTAACAATGATGGCTAACCAAATCAACATTAGGTTGAAAGAAAGCAAATTTTTACCAATTTCTTGGCTCAACCTGGTCGATGTATATGGAATACTGTAAATGTAGAAAGCTTCTTCTCGGATTATCGGAGTAAACCATCCTGGTGCTTTAGGTGTGTCAATCGGAATTGGAATGAAAAGGCTATCAACCTCCTGAGAAGCAAAGTTATTACCAATTTCAATCACAGTTAACCCTGAATTACTTACCCTGTTTTGAAGCATCCCAAGTATCCCATCTTGATAGCCTGATTCAGTCAATCTACCCACTTGACCAGTTGAAGATACTTTTACATAGATACTGATGTAAAGCAAAATAAAGGTGAAAACCCAATTGTTAACCCAATAGGTTGACTACTTACTCAAAGAAACCGTAAAATGCAATGTCATCAATTAATGTCCGTAAAGGCTTCAACACGGCCACATATTGTCCACCTTCAAAATGAAATAGACTTGATATTGGAATCTAAAGGTGAAAAAAGGTTACAATTAACTTGATTAAACAGCGACTTGGGCTCACCTCAAATGCAGCTACAGTTAAATTCAATTTACTTTGCTTATATTCATCCATCGCTAAACACTGCTTTTGGACATTTGTTAAAACAATGAAATTGCGAGAAAAAATAAACTAAAAACAATTAATTTTCTCGCTAATTGACTCAAGACAATCATCTTTGATGTTTCTTAAATTACTAGATTTTTTCAACCATTTAAAGGCAATTAAAAAGCCTATTGCTTCACGGAATCTCATTATTTGGTAAATCAATGTTATTTATTATTCCTATCAACAAGTGTTTAGATTTATTGGTGTCACGAAGCTATTAATTTGCTATTACTTTCATTACCTTTTTTCGTAATTTTGTATCTATTTCCGAAATGAGTTATTTCCATTGATTTAACTTAATTGTTGCTAACGTTTTGTGTTGAAAAACTGAAAAAATCATAATTTCTTTTCTTTTATTTCATTAGGTTTTAAAAAAGTCCCAATCAGGAATAGTTCATCAGAAGTAACTTTATCCAAAGTGTGTCCTGATGAGAAATCAGTTTGTGAAGACGATGAAACCTGTTGTGCTCTTGATATCGGTGGTTATGGGTGTTGTGACCCAGAAAATTCAAGATGCTGTGGTGATGGTGTCCATTGTTGCCCAAATGATACTCCCAAAGTCCATCGAGTACCATTGACCAGAGAACCAGTTTTACCCAAAGCAACCCCATTGATAAATAATACAGTAAACTATGGAGATTATGTTTGTCCAGGAGCAAGTTTTGTCTGTCCATCTGATAATACATGTTGCAAGATGACTACTGGTGAATGGGCTTGTTGTAACCTTCCTAATGCCGTTTGTTGTTCAGATGGTCTTCATTGTTGCCCTAATGGATTCACATGTCACATGGAAATTGGAAAATGTGTTAAAGAAACGCGGAAACAGCGAAAAAATGTTATTCCAATCTTGCCTTAGAATCTGGTTGATTGATTAGATCAATACAAATTGTTATCCAACAAAGTGAGTTAGCATGTGATTCAGGCCTTGTGTGAAGTTGCCTGTAACAAATCAACTGTGTTCAACAGTTTCCTTTGTAACATTGTTTTATTGATCATTAGATTAGATGAGATCATGAGCAATTAAATAAAGTGCGCACTTTTAAATGAAATATTACATGTTAACCAAAAAAAAAAACACACAAAACAAAAAGGTAGATGCGTAGAGAGAAGTGAAAATAGCAGATGGGAATAAAAATAGGTAGGGATAAATGACCTGATCAGGTTGATTATAACTCAGTCTTGTTGTTAATCATGTTAATGATGGTGAGTGAGGGAAAGAGAGGGTAAAATTGACGCTAATAATGCGAATCAAATGATTGTCATCATTTTGTGACTGATTGTAAACTGTTTGCAACAGCACAATTGAATAACAAAACAATGGGTAAACAAGTGAAAATTGTAAGAAACAGTAGTGTTGGTGGGATTCACTTTACGCTAACTGCTTTTTGTCTTAACAATCAACAACGTGAGTTAAATTGATTATCAACTGACCGCCAACTCAAGCTGTTAATGATGATTATGATGAATTTCCAGTCCATTTGGGTTTCTATTAAAATCTTACTTTCAATTGTTTCCATTGAAAATGGTCAATTTGTTTGCATAAAAAAAGCCAAGTTAACCAAACAGCTCAAGTTTCAACCTTATCATAATGATATTACCTTTTATTTTCAGATGTAAGTGTCTGAAAAATCAGTAGGAGTTGATTAGGATTGTGAACCTGAAGAGCTTTCAAGTTAATAATACGCATTAAATCAATTGTTGGTTAACTTGAAACACTCATTTCAACATCAGATGACTTTCATGAAACTTAATTGTTTACAACAATTTTTTTTGCTGCTCCTAAAGCTACTTTAATTGTGATCATGTTAATCCTGGTAATCATACACATCAGCTGATTTCTTTATTTTTTTGCACTCGTGTTATTATATTATTAGTCAATTGCTAATTTATCAACACATTATCTTATCTTAATAGATGCTCAATTCAATTACTCTGAGCGTATTTTCAATGACTGTTGATGCTGTTTCGCATGCTTTGCCTATCAGAGCTTCAGCTTTTTCCCTCGCAACTGATTAATTGTATTACAAAGGTTGTTGAATTATCTGTTGCTTTATTTTTTTGCCTTCTTTACCAATGATTATATATTAATGATTATCTTGATTCCCTTCAAATTGATTAGCATTTTTGCTTTCAATTTCACTCATCAATATCATGAGAATTGAAGGAAATATCAACAAAAAAAATATCAATGAAAAACCTGGAGTTGAAGAAGTTGAAATTTAGGTTTTGCTTGCCTTCAATGATCAGTTTAAGACAGCTTGACAGTAACAATTGTGAATAGTGTACTCAATGGTAAATTGAGTCTGTTCAAATGAGATTAAAGAGTTAATTTACGTCATTTATTTGAGGTGTTTGATCCTTGAAATAAATTAGATATTGATCAAGTGAATGGTTACAATTTAGAGTCTAGGTTAAATCAATGAGTATGAGGACAATAATGAAAGATTGTATCAATTGAATATTTATATTTATTTATTTCCTGATGAACCATTTTTTCTTTGATTTATCTTTATCTTTTACCATTCAATAAGGCACCAAAATAACTGTCCTGGTTTGTCTTTCATTCGTCTCACCTTTAATTGAAAGCTTCAAGTATTAATATAATTTAGCCTTTTTTTATTAACTAAAACCAGTAATAAATTAAGTTAAATTTTGCGTGAGTTTAAAGCTTTTTTGGGTTAACAACAGATGGCAGTCCTGATTTGTTTAGTTGTTGGCTGCTGGTTGAGAGTAAAAACGCATTTTCTGGTTGTTTGTGGTTGTTACACGTTTATTCTGGTTTTCTGGTTTTTATATTTTATCATTTATCTCCTGGTTCAGGGTAAATATACTTTTTATTCATTTGTAAATGAAACTTCAACGCACAATTATATCTCACTTTGTGTGCAGTAATCTGACGATCAATTGGACAGCCTAAAATGTAATCAAGATGTAACAGCTATTAGTTTTACAATGTATCTGTTTTTATGCTGTTACTTTATTAGATCACACTAATTTTAATCTTGATTATCTACTTCAGAGGTAAGATTGTCAATTCATAGCATCATCTAGTTGTTTTCAATTTAAGCGAGTTCTACAAGTTTCTACAATTTACTCGGTGCAACGCAATTTCAACCCCAATATTTTCTCAAAAATAGATCTCATCAGCTGTTTTAATGTTGAACGTTTAATTTTGCTGGTTAAACCTTTTGTCGGTATTTTGGATTGTACTTTTTCTATAGCAGCTTAAATGCAATAATTAAGGGGAAATATTTTCATTTTTAAATGAATTTCATGTCTCTTGAAATAGATATCTTGTTATCATCAATTGTTGTGATACAATAGCTGTTTTTAGGATGCTTTTTATAACATTATCAAAAAAGCAGAGTATTTCAAATTCATTTATGTATGGTTTTCCCTGAAATTTATTTCTTCAATGTAAATTGAATAATAATCAAACATCTATGGTAATTAGCGTTTGTAGCCAAATCGATGGTAAAAAATGCGTTTTATTTGTCAAAAGAGCTTAAAAATGACGTAAAAAGACGTTGTTTAACCTGGTTTTTGCTGTGAAATGAAGTTTACACTTTCACTAATGATCTTCAGTTTCTTGTCAACTCAGGGTAATCAAGGTAATCGACGTAGTATTTGACCAGCAATTTGAACACCTACATTATTTGCAAGTTTCCTCTCAAACAAACTGATTGTAAGGACTCAGGGAAGGGCACCAAAAGGCTGATGATGATCATAAAAGAGATGTTGATAAATAATGACTGTTGGTTAGCTGATGGTTGGCTGGTTGCGGTGGTGGAGTCGTTTGGCAACTCAAGAACTGGATTCCTCCTGGACAAGGTGAAACTTTGACCTGACGATGATGATGCTGATGATAATGATGGATTCAAGTTTGAAAGGCAACAATCTACCTGAGCCTAGATGGTTTAAGGCAACAAAATTGTTTCATCGCCAATCACCATCAACCTTATGTTTAATGTCTCATATAATAGAGTCTCATTTCATCTAGCTGTGTTGTTATTCAGCAATTCACAGATTCTTAATTTGAATGATCTTGAAAATGGGGAAAAATGTCTCATTTTTTATGATTTCTTTTGCCTTTTGAGTTTTCTGTTGATTTTTGTGATTGAATTCAAACATGTTAACAACAATTGGCAGCAATTAGGTAATTGGCATCATGGAGGGAGAAGAGAGCAAAAAATAACGATATCTAATGCATTGTGAACATGAAAATCTCAAGGAAATGGCGTAACCAGAACGAGTTTTACAGTAAACATTTTGATTGTTTACAATTGTTGATTGTTGAATGGCTCATGAAGCTAGTGGAAGGGTATTCAAACCGGTCTTGGTGTTGAACAAAAAGAACGAAATTGATACAATAATAATAATGGTAACAATTGAATGGCAAGGAATGATAATCAAGGGTTGTTAAACCAAGGCTATCTTCATATTATTTCATCTCGTTAATTGTATACACTGGCAAAAACTAATGGAGTTGAAAAGCCAAAACAAGCTTCTTCCCTATTTAATCACATTACACTGATTATCCGACCATTGATCATTATTTTAAAATGGTTAATCAAAACATTGAAAAAAGGATAATCAACAATTCAATAAACATTTAGATTTCAAATTACCGTCTGCTATTAACATGTGATTACCAAAAGCATGAGAACAACAAGAAGACTGTGAAACTCTTAGGCCTTAATCATACCTAATCAACATCTAAACCATTGCTTTATGATAAATATTTGACCAGAATTTTAAAATTCTGGTTAATCTTTTTACAACCTTTTCTGGTCAACTCTGGTCATATTGTTACTGGCGAAATGAAAAGAATGAGAAATTGAATAACAATTGAAATACAATGTTTACCATTTGCTGTAATATTTTTTTTTGCTTTTAATTGATAATTGATATTATTTTGGTACAATGTAATAATTTATTTGAGCAAACAAAATTGTCCAAATATTTGCTTCTAATCAAATTAATGGTCCATTTATCAGTGAATCAATTAGCCTTAATTTGTAAGGAAAATTGTTTGACCTTTTTCCTCTATTGACAATTTTTGAGTTTACCAATGAATTTGTTGCTTCTGTTGTCACTCGAGTTAATATTTATAATTAGCGTAATCAATTGTCAATTAGATTTTACATTATCAAATTGTTTAATTGTTTAAACATTAATCTGACATGAGACATGATATCACCTTTCGGTGAAGATGGTTAAGAGGTGGAAAAACAAAATGATGATCAATCGAGTATCAAAACACGGAACCATATTGAATGGTTAATCGATTAACTGTAATAATCACCATTATTGCCATCATCATCATTAAGTTCAATTAACTATTCAATTGAAGGAAGAAGCAAAAAAATAGGAACTAATCTAACTAACAAACCTGATCATCGTTCAAACAAATTTCATACAATCACTCATTTCACCAACAAAATGACTGCTGATAGTGGTTAAGATAAATGTCTATTTGATTGGTTACAATTAGAAACTCACAAGATTGTCTAATTAACATGATGTAAAACATGATTAACTATTGATTGTCTTAAGAAGGGAAACATTTCAGGAAAATGTTCACTTTTCAAAATCTTTTCAGTAAAACCTTTGCTTAAAGATCCTAAAGACTAGAGACTTGAACCCAAAATTGAACCCAAAAATGAATCTAAAATTGAATCTAAAATTGAGCCTTAAATTATTCCAAGGCTTTAAGGTTGAGGTTAGAGTTGATTTTAAATTTGATTTTAAATTGGATTTGAATTGAGTTGAAGATGATCAGATTGATCAACATTTGATCGGGTCAGGTCACAAGATTGGTAATATACCACACCTCGGTTGATGATGAGTAGGTAAATCAGGTTATGATTGGGAAAGGAACCTTACTACAGATGATTACAATCAACTGATTTTTTATTTCTCATCTAAACTGTTAATTGGTGTCTCAACAATTGACTTGTGTTTGCAGATCAATCTAATCTATACAATCCAGCTGAATCAAGTAAATTTGCTTTCTTATCAATTGCAATATGAATTGTAACTCTTCAAC